GAATTCCACCATTTTCTGTAATCCTTAAAATAACACAAACCCAACACCGAACATTCTTACCCACACTCCTAAACTCAAGTACATGAAAGTGAGCCATAAATCTAACCCTATCTCTATCCTTAAACCCAACCCTAAGCCTGGGCCTAAGACTATATCTCACCCTCTAACCCTGATCCCTAGCTCTAACCCCTAACCCATGTCCCATAACCTTTACCCAATAACATTACTGACACTAAGACCCCATCTATACCCTAACCCATCCTCTAGTCCTAACCCTAACTTCTACTCTAATCACAACCCTTCTGTATTCCATACCAAAACCTTAACCCTAACCCAAACCCACACTGGAACACAAATCCAACAACTCACACACAAATCCAAAAGTGAACCCCTACACAAACCACAACCTCAAAGTAGAGCCCTAAATGAACACAAACTCCAAACTAAACTCTAAACACCAACCAAAAGTCCAAACACAGACCCAAACATTAATCCTTAACCAAACAGCAATCCAAATATATACCAGAAATTAACCATCTATCTGAATCAAATACAAACACAAACTGGAATAAAAACCCAGAATTGAAACCTAATGCAATCTTGAACCCAAGTGTGAACATATACCCAAACATGAACCCTGTACTTCACATGACTAAAACACAAACACAAACCCATACACAAATCTGAATACAAACCCAGAGTGGAACCCAAGCACAAAACTGAACATGTGCCTGGACTTGAGCTCAAACATGAATCTGAGCGTTAACTTAAAGACAAATGTCAAACCCAGTATAATATAACTCACAAAAGTAAATAGCAATTATATTGATACATCAATTGCATATATATATATATATATATATATATATATATAGTGTATGTATTACATATCAATTTCATAAAATTGATAGATTGTATATTACCAGTATTTATTTATTGACCAGTTTCTTTTCCTGGGATCAAAACATACTTGAATATGATAAAAGCTATATGTAACAAACCAATAGCCAGCATCATATTAAATGGGGAATAATGAAAAGTATCCCCCTAAAATCAGGAGCAAGAAAAGGATGTTCACTTTCACCTCTTCTTTTCAACACAGTACTTGAAATATTAGCCAGAGCAAGTAGGCAAGAAATAAAATGAATACATATAGGAAAGCAAGAACTCAAATTATAATTATATGCAGATGACATAATTCTCTACATAGAAGACTCAAAGAACTCCACGAAGAAGCTTTTAGAATTTATAATGAACTTCAGCAATATAGTAGGATACAAGATCAACACACAAAAATCAGTAGCATTTGTGCATACCAACAAAAAATGGATGAGAAGGAAATTGTGAAAATAATAGCATTCACAGTAGCCTCAAGAAAAATGAAATATCCAAAAATTAACCAAATCAAGGAAGTGAAATATCTCTACAAAGAAAAGTATGGTACTCTGAAAAATTAGATTAAAGAGAACATCAAAAAAAAGGAAAGATGTGCCCTGCTCCTGGAGAGGCAGAAACAATACTGTCAAAAGAGCTATACTCCCAAAACTTATACAGGTTCAATACATCCCAATTAAAATACCAATAACAAACTTTAAAGATCCACAAAAAAAAATCCTAAAATTCATATGGAATCAGAAGTAATTTTGAGCAACAAGAGCAAAGCAGGAGACATAGCATATCTGACTTCAAGCTATACAACAAAGCAATAGTGATAAAAATGGCATATACTGAAATAAAAACAGAAACATAGGACAGAATTGAAATTGAATTGAAAATACAGAACTTCCCCTGGACACATTCAGCTCCTTGATTTTTGACAAAAGGACCAAAAGCATATGTTGGAGGAAAGGGAGCCTATTCAGCAAGTGGTACTGGGAAAACTAGTTATCTGCGTGTAGAAGATTGAAACTGAACTCATCTCTCACCATATACTAAATTAAAATAAAAATGGATCAAAAATCCACACATTAAGATAGAAATATTAAACCTACTGGAATATAAAATAGGTGAAACTCTTGAAGACATAGGTGTAGGAAGGGATTTTCTAAATAGTACCTCAATTGCACAAGACTTAGCAGCAATAATCAACAAATGGTATTATATCATACTAAAGTGCTTCTGTATAGCAAAATCATCAATCAGTAGAGTGAAGAGACAACCTACAGAATGGGAAAAAATTTTGCCAGCTACTCCTCAGAGAGAGGGCTAATATCTAAAATATACAAAGGACTCAAAAAATTAAATCACCTAAAATTAAAGATCCAGTGAAGAAATTGGCAAGAGAAATGAGCAGACATTCACAGAGGAACAAATACAAATGGTCAACAAATATATGAAAAAAATTTTCAACATCTCTGGACATTGCAGAAATCCAAATTAAAGCAATCGTGAGATTCTATCTTACTCCAGAAAGAATGGCAATTATTATGATATCAAACAATAACTAATGCTGGCAAGGCTGTGGAGAAAAAGGAACCCTCCTCCTTCACTGTAGGTGGGAATGTAAATTTGTACAACAGCCATTATGACAGTGTGGAGATTTTTCAAAGAACTAAAATTACAAATTCCATATGACCCAGCAAGCCCCCTGTGAGATATCTTCTTCAAAGAGCATAAGGCATCAAGCTACAGTGATACATGCATTACCAATGTTTTTAGCAGCACAATTTGCAATAGCTAGATCCTGGAAACAGCCTGTATACACATCAATAGATGATTGGATAAAGAGAATGTGGTAACTATATACAGTATAATGGAATACTACTCTGCTATAAAGAATGACAGATTTGAGACATTTGTAAGAAAATGGATGCATTTGAAAAATATAATGTTGAGTGAAATAAACCAGACACAAAAGCTTACATACCATATCGTGTCTCTCATCTGAGTGAGAAAAGTACAAACAAAGAGAATAATAAAAACAGGTAGAAGAGGACAAGGTCATGGATTTCTTGGAATAGGGAAGTGGCCCAAGGGAAAAATGCATGAAGGTTAAGGAGGAGGGGAAGGGGAATTAAGTAGGATAAAGATATGCTATGCACAGGAATCTAATGACTTCAAGTAATGTAAACATTATATGCCAAGAATAATAATATCAACAAGAATAAAAAATTGCAATAGGGGAATCGGAGGAGGAGGGAAGGGAGAGGGATTGCAAACAGAAGCTGCGGTGAGTACATGTAACCATGGCCAAAGATGATTATACAAATTGCATGAACTGAAATCACGTACTAATAAAATTACAAACTTCTTAAAAACATAGCCTTTACTATCCATATTTCTATTAGAATTCTAGTGACCTGAGTTTTCACTATGGCATTCTAGGTTTTTCTAGCCTGTTTCTCCAAATTCCTCCCTAAACCACTTATGTATGCGGCAAAGGCAAAGACAGCCACTTTCCAAGACAGTCAGCTGTCCATCACTATAAAAAATGTCTGAGATGGTCAATTTGAATAAGGAAAGTTTTCCTTTGACTCACAGTTTTGGAGATTCAGTTGGCCCTGTTGCTTTTGGGCTTATGTTAAGGCAGTACATTATGGCAAAATGAGTGACAGAGCAAAGCCATTCACCTCATCACTGGAAAACTAAAGAGGAAAGGTCTGGTGTACCACCATCATCTTTGAAGTGATGACCCCAGTGACCCACAGACCTACACTGCATCCTAGCTCTTAAAGTGTCCGCCACCTCCCAACAGTACCACCATGGGAAACACATCTCCACACATGGGCCTCTAGGGGATATTTAAAGTCCAAACTCTAGCACATTCATAAATAATACATTAAAAGAAAGTTTCAAAATAAATGTAAAAATACACTTTCAACTGAATCAATAAAAAATAAGGTGTCAAAATTTGTGGACTGAGCCAGTAGTGTGTTGAAAGGGAATGTATAAAACCCTAAATGTTTATAAATTAAATCTCAGTCATTAATCCAAACTTTTACTCTAAACCTCTAACGAAAGAGCAAAACAATCCCAAAGCAGAAATAAGAACAGAAATCAGTGCAATTGAAAATAAAAAAATAACAGAGAAAGTTATAAAATTATTATTTTGTTAAGTAGTGGTATAACTGCCAAACTTCCAATAAGAGTGGCCAAGAAAAAACATACATAAATTATCAATATCAGGAATTAAAGCAGAGAATTCACAACACACCACACCATTAAAATGATAAGAAGGGGATAGTGTAGTATTCAGAAGAACTCAGTTCAAATAAATTTAATGACTTGGATGAAATGCAAAAAATCCTTTAAATTACAGACAACCAATATAAATCCAAAATAAAGGAGATCCTCCGTACAGTCTTATAATTGGACTACTAAAGAAATTGAATTTATAGTTAAAAATAGAAATCTCTAAAAACACAGTTTTACTATAAATTCTACTAAACATTTAAAGAAATGATGCTAATTCTACACAATCTATTCCTAAAAACAGATAAGGAAAGAATGCTTCCTAACTCATTTTATGAAACCAGTATTAAGGTGAATGGCTTCAGATGAAGCTGAAGAGGTGAGCACAAGAATTTGGTCTTTATTCTAAGAACAATGGGAAGTAAACTGAAGATTGTTCAGTCTGTTTAAACATAGTTTGGGGGTGAAACAGGAGTGGCAGTGCACATTTGCTCAGACTTCCTTTCAGTTGCTCTTCTCTCCTAAATTGGAGAGGTAAACAACCTCTAAGCACCTTGTCCCTTTATGCTTCCTTCGTCCTGGCCTTCCCACCATTTTGTAGCCTGTGTTCTGCACACACACACACACACACACACACGCACGCACACAATTTCTTCACTAACGACGCACAGCTTCTCAGGGCGCAGCTTGGATCACACTATCAGATTGCCCTGAGTGGCCCTGAGCCAGATCACCATTGTTGCAAAGAGTTGCTCTGGGTACCGAACCAAGAATTGGGTTCCGAAGAGAAACAGTAGAGTACAGGTCGGATTGGGTGAGCAAGAAGGAGGGACCGGGTCTCCATCAAATCACAGATCTAGGATCCTCACCTCAGACTCTCTACAACCCTGGCAGCTGGGCTGCAGTTGTTCTTGGAAGAACCGCCCCATGGTTGCCATGGAGACCAGGCGCTGCCACTACCTGAGCCTCAGGACGCAGAAATCACTTAGGAGACCCTTCGCTAGGCGACGCCTTGTTTTGCCTTCTTTCAGATCTTCACAGACCTGTCATCAGAGCTTTTTTCTCTACTCTTTTCATGGAATACTCCAGCACCCTGGAACAAGAAAAAGAAAACCAACAACTAGGGGAAGCAGTGCAGCCATGGCAAGAAGAGACCGCAGCTTCTCCCCAGGATCTTGGTCCTGAGTCATCTGGGCCCTGGGAGGCCGAGTGGACGCCTGATCCCGGCCCCCTACCCAGGAGCAGCCTTGCTCAGACCCTGGAATCCGGAGGCCGCGTGGCGGAGCAAGCAGCGTCGTCTTCCCCGACATCGCCTCAGAGGCCATTGCCGGCTCTGGCCAGGCAGGACATCGGGGCCCCACGGCAGCTAAACGGGGTCACCAGGGGGACTCTTGATGCTGGGACTCCTCTTTCCGACCCGCCCGGGGAATCAGCTGATGCGAGGGTATCGGCTCCCCCAAGCCAGTCGCGTCAGGACACCACTCCGCCAACTCAGCAACCCAATTCAAGTAGCAATCCCTCTAATCCAAAAGAGCTGCGACCTGGCAGTGTCCAGGAGGAGGACTGGAGCAGCCGCCAGAACCGCGCTCAATCTGGGCCCAGGGCCTCCGAGGCGGCCCCCAGCACGCTTGAGATTGCGGTGCAGAACGCCAAGGTTTACCTGCTTCGGGACAGCAGCAAGACCGGCTTGAACCTGTAAGACTAGCAGTTTGCCAAAGTGAAAAGGGTGTGGGTTATCTGTGGCAGTATATTTCTCTAGGTAAATAGAAATACACTTGAGAAGATATAGGAAAAGAAAGTCATACAATTTCATCACAGCCCTAAAAACAATGGGGTCTCAGAATTTAAAGACTAAATCCTCAGCCCTCTAAAACCTAATTAACAGTAATATTTGATATTAGAATAAACTCATTAAACCTGAGATTCACTAAACCTGAGATTGAGCAATTCAAAATATTATTTATAAATAAAAATACTATTTTATAGTTTAATTTTAAAATTATAAATTTAAAAAAATATTTTTATTTAAATTTAAATTTTGGGTTTTTTTCAAATAAAATATTATTTATAAATTACTATTTTAAATTACAATTTTCTTAAGCTGTTAAGAGTGTGATTTGCTACTCAATATGAATTCTACTTGAAATTCTATTGTTTATTACCTGTTATAATGTCCTGGGTTAAATATAAGCATGAATTTTCAAATTCTTCTAAAATAGCAAAACAGCTCACTATAAATATTTGTAAGTTTACTAAAATATGAAACTGAATAAAAAAACTAAAGTGAGAAAACAGCCTCATTAAATTATTTTACAAGTGATATCAGCTAAATATTAAAATTTAATTTGGCTTTCAAATGCTGTTTCTGAGGTCATTAATCAGTATCTTGGGTTAATATTCACTGTTTCTGTACTTTAGAGCTGACAGTCCAAAATAGCTTAGTAAAGATGGCTTTAATCCCCATTTCTTATATGTACATATAATTGACAGACATAACATCTATTTTGAGGGCAATTAAAATAATATTTGATTAAATACAGGAGCTGATCATGGCTTTCCATTAATGAACAGAAAACTTACAAAAAAGAATCACTTCCTGGGCTGGGGATTTAGCTCAGTGGTGCTGCCACCTGCCTCGCAAGCAAAAGGTTTCCAGTTTGAGTCCAGATACCAAAAAAAAAAAAAAAAATTACTTCCTTCTTTTCTACCATTCTGTTAAAGCAATTAATTCTCCCTAAGTGAAAATCATCATAATGAATTAATACCTAATATATATCATGATTTCACATAATTGCTTTTTCAGATATAGACTTAAAAAACATTTATATCCTATATGTACTGAAGAACTATGAGTAAAACACATATAGACGTTATACTGAAACCTGAAAAGTAAAATGAAAATTTGGGCTTAGATACTCTGATTTATATGCTATGCATGTGGTGGGCAAATCAAGCACTGTCTTTACAAACAGCGATTGTCCAGTACCTTATGTGGAAATCTTTCTCATCTGGACTGGAGGGGCTCCTCCCTGAGTTCCAACACTGAGTAAATATTAAGAAAGCTTATTGAAGTTTTTTTTTAAGTTTTGTTCATTTATAAGAATAGCATGCTGGGTGTGGTGGGGCATGCCTGTAATCCCAGTACTTGGGAAGCTGAGGCAAGAGGATTGCCATGAGTTCACAACCAAATGGAACTACTTAGCAAGGCCCTGTCTTAAAAAAAATAGTAAGATTTGCAGAAAGATTTATTTTTCAAATATAATATTTTAACTGCCCTTCACATAGGTTGCTGATAAAATCTATATACATTCTGTGATACTTTTAAAACCCATTAGAAATATACAGAGATTAAAGAAAAAAAAGAATAATATCTCATGTCAGTTAATAGAAAACAGGCAGCTATCGAGCATATATGTTTCATTATAGTAAGAGCATATATGTTTCATTATAGTAAGAGAGAAGTCATCTGTGTCATCAGAAAGGGTCACTCTAAGGAAAACTTTGGGAACAACTTGAGTGCCAGTCTTTGAAGATAAAGGGGATTTAAAATTATTTTTCTTTGATTTACCTCACAGGGACAGATCTAACTGAACTAGAAAAAAAGTTGGAGAGATGTAACGCAGAGAGAATCATCTTATGAAAGTTCCACATGGAACATGAGTTTCTTTTCACCATGAGAGATTTGACAGAGACTTGTCTTCTTAAATCTGCATCATAAATCTGGTATTCAAAAGACCTACTGTAAAAATAATATATAAAATACAATGAATTAGAGGACAGAGGCAGTTTCAGTAATTCAGTTGTGAAATAAAAGCTAGGGCCATGTTTTTGATTGAATAGAACCAAATATTATAGTCATTACAGTTTAATAAATGTAATATATATGATGGCACTTGTCTTAGTTGTGTGTAGTGGAGGCTGCAATATGAAATTTATTCTTTGTAGGTCTAAATAAAGTAAATAGCTGGCTTAAAAATAAGATGGAAAGGAAGAAACGGGTCTTAAAGATAGAATCAGCAGATTTAGAAGTCAAGTTGGGTTAGCAAGAACAGGGGACTGGAAAAGAAAGTATCAATGAAACAATGTTAATAATTTAAAAATATGTACCCAGGAGACTTACACTTCAGAAATGAAATGTGAAGATGTATCTGATATGGATGATTTTTCTTGCTTTAATATGTTTTTCTCTAAAATTTAAACATCCATTCCTATTAGAGGCATTTCCTAAGGAAAATTCTAGGATAGCCTCTCTCTGACATGGTAGAAATCATCTTCACTGAAAATCTCAGGATGTTAGGTTGATGAGTTCTCTAAACCCTAGCAACCTGCAGGAAATACTTCTACAAGTGCTCTTGATTTGCATATGATCTGGAATTTCCTCTGTTTGAGTAGATATGATCATCTTTCTAACATGCTGACCAAGATATTAGATGAACGTCCTGAAAATGCTGTTGACATCCTTGAAAATATCAGTCAAGATGTGAAAATGGCACATTTTAGTAAAAAATTAGATACACTCCAAAACGAGAATGAGATGCTTCCAACATATGAAATAGCAGAGAGGCAAAAGGCTCTTTTTCTCCAGGGACATCTGGAAGGAGCTGACCAAGAAATGGAAGATGAAATAGTAAGTCATCACTACAAATACTAGTGGTTAAATTCCAGTGGGGGAAGGTGTCTTGGGCCATTAGGGGTGTGGCTTGAAATGCATAGCAAGTAGATTTTATGGCTCTCTAAATAGTTTTTGTATCTTAATTTCTTTAAAGCTTTTCAATCCTCCAATTAACTCACTGTGTACCCCTTTCTTCCTTGTTTATTTTTTCACATTGTGTGATTTGTTATTGTTGTTATTTTGACACAGGGTCTTGATATGTCCTGGAACTCATGATCCTCCTGCTTTAATCTCCCAAACGCTGGGATTATAAGCATGTACCACTAGGCCTAGCTCACGTGCAGTTGCAATACTTTACAAGCCTTAGTTTTTCTTAGAGGTTTGTGTGTGGTAACTTTCTTGGTAACAGAAAAGATGGTTTATTTGTATTTTATAGCCTCCAAGTTGTCCAGTACAGATCTGCTTGTATAGTTGTTTATTTTTAAATATTTGTGAATAGTGAATATCAGATATAGTTAGATTTCTATCACCTACTGACACTGAAGCTATTGTGAAGTCATAATGCAATGCATTCTCCGTGTGTCTGGTGAGGCTGAAATGAGCAATCCTACTGCACTGCAGTTATACTGAAGCTGTACGTTATGGCTGTGTCTAGATGTCCCCCAAAGCCTCATGCAGTCATGAGGGGAGGGGCTGTTAGAGGTGGTTGTACCTAGAGTGTGTGGTGCTAGGACCAAGGATATGTGAATACTAAATCAGTCCACCAACTGATTTGGCATAGTTCTGGTAGGATTAAGGATGTGAGTACTACACCCATCCTAGGGTGGGTAGACTGCATAAAATAAGGGACAAAAATAGTGCTAATGTGATCTTGCCTGCCTGCTTGAGGTGGACTGTTTCTCCTCTGCAATGCCCCTCTGCCATGCCACCCTGCCTTGGAGCTAGACAACTATGGACTGAAACCTCAACAAACCGTGAACCAAATAAACCTTTCCTCCCTGAACTTTGGGTATTGGGTACTCTGTCTCAGCAATGAGAAAAGTGAGACAGTGTATTAAAGCTGCACTGTAGTTATGTGAAAGCACTATATGAAAGCACATACACCTATGTACACTGTGCACCAGGTGCATAGTAGGCTATACCATCTAGGATGTCTGCACAACATAATTGTTTAATGAGATATTTCTCAGAATGTATCCTTGTCATTGAGTGATACATGATGGTAATTAAAAATTGAATTTTTTAATCAATTTCCATATTTCTCTTAAATCTACCAGGAAATTTATTAGTACTTCCAATGTCATTTGTATTGTCTTCAAAGGTATGCTCCTTCTATTATGTTTTAATATCAGGTACATTATGTCCATGGGACATAAGGTAAGGAAGAGGAATAAAATGCTTTTTAATGTTCACAGATAAAAGGATTAAAATATTAATGAAAGAGTTGGTGATGGTGAGGGGAGCTATATTATAGAGAAAATCTGGTGTATCACAAAAATTTTAGCTTCAGTCAGATATGATGGCACATTCCTGTAATCCCAGATACTCTGGAGCCTGAGGCAGGAGGACTGCAAGTTTTAGGTCAGCCTGCACAACTCATCAAGACTCTGACTCAAACTTATATTTTATAAAGTGGTGGGGATGTAGGTCAATGGTAAAGCACTTTCTTGACATGCAGGAGACTGATTTCAATCCCCAATACTACAAAAAGAAAGCTTCAAATATTTTTAAGAGTATCCTGTATTGTTTCCTCAATCTTATATACATATCTTCTGAGCCTCTGTGTCCCGTTACTGGCATATTTAAAATGTTTATATAAGTTGCAACTCTGATGTTTAGAGTAATCTATTTTTAAAAAAAGACTCACTCTGTCAGGGGAAAGATCCAGAGAGTACTCAGAAGGAACAGGTGATTGGGTTCAGGACTCAACACCAGGCTGCTTCAACAAGGTAGAATTTGGTTGAGTTGCCATAAACAGTTATGAGGCCTCAAGAGCACAACCTGTGGAGCAGGCAGGTAGCAGACAACCTCTGGAGAGATTAATCAAAGCAAGGTCAGAATGGCAACATGGTATGGAAAAGCACAGTGTCACAGGGATTCCTGCCCTAAAACCAGCATGTTGGATGAAGATAGAAATAACCTATTTTGATCTGGAGCCTAAGCCCCTGTCTTAGTTACTTTCTCATTGCTGACTCAAAATATTAATTGATATACACAAGCTAGAGGAGGAAATGTTTATTTTATCTCACAGTTTGTAGTGATTTCAGTCCATAGGGAGCTGGTTCCAAGGCAGGGCAGCATGACAGAGGGGCACTGTAGAGGAGAAACAGTATTTACTAGAGAAACAGATATAACACAGTATATACAAATATATATGAATTTACAAGATTTGCTCACAATGGCCACACAGAGTCAGATGAGGATGAGTCCAGAGAATGTCTTCACACTGGAGACCAAAGGATTTAGTGGAAGGTCTGGAGCTCACTGCAGTGGTTAATGCAAGTCCATATCAGGAGACTGATGGAAGGCTGAAGAGTCTACCCCTGGGAAGCTGAAGGATGTGCTTCTCTAGAAGGGCGGGAATGATGTTCAGTGGGAAGACTGGAGGCCTTCCCAAGAAACAGAAGCAGCAGTGTCCTTCCTCATTTCCCCTTTATACTATCCAGGCAACTGAACCACCCTAAGGTGGGTCCTTTTCACCCTAGGGTGTGGAATTGCTGAGCCAATTTAGCTAAGCTTCTCTTAACCAAACTTTTCAGGTTGACACTATCGATCAACCATCACATAGTTCGTGGCATGGCAGGCAGAAAGAAGCAAATGCAGGCCTCCCTTTCTCTTTTACCTTATCCAGCCTGAAAGCCTATTGGACGGTGCCAACCACGGTTAGGGTAGACTTTCCCATTACTCACACCCAGAACTATGTTAAAGCAATCAGTGGAGTTATTTCATTTTCACATGCCCTTAATCTGTATTCACACGTCTATGAGCTAGCCACCTCCAAAAGCCCCACATATGAGTGCATGAGGCTTTGGGGGAAAATCTAGACGTAAGCCATGGCAGCCTCTTACAGAGAGGCCATTAATAATCCTGATGAAAAGGGTAGAATTGATTTTAGAACCTGGGAAAGCTGAGTCATCAGGTGAAGATGAAAAGCCCCACCTTAGAGCAAGAACAGGAAGAGTTGGTTTCCTAGAGAATGAGACATCAGCTATGTAACAATGCTATTCCAGACTTCTTTGCATTCTGCATTCATGTTTTTAGTCATGCTTGGACTTCAGCATTCATTCATTTATTCATTCACTCACTCATTCATTGGCAAATGCTATGACTACTGCATTCTAGGTATAGAGATGTACATGTGAAAAGACTTTTCTGACTTTAAATTGCTTACAATCTACTAAGAGAGGAAATGAAAATAAAGCTATTTGTTAGCAGAAAAAAGAGATGGCCTCATATGATGGGGAAAAACCTGAGCTTTGGAGTTAGAGCTGAATTAGAATTCTGGGTCAAATATTCACTAGTTGTGTGACTTGGAGCAAATGACTTAACTTTCCATGCTTAAATGACAATCACATGAAAACACCCTGAGGAGTATGGGTATTCTATGTGTAGGAAATCACTACTGATTGATTCAAAGCCCAGGGCATCTAAGGACCCTTAAGGACATGATCCTGCCATCTAGCACATGCACACAATGGGATACACTTATGTAAGCATGACTTAGCATAGACTACCACACATGTGTTACATGCTAATGTAAGGACGTGATGTAAGGCTGTGTAGTAACCTACATAAGGGCAAGGAATAAAGATGTTTGCTTCTGATCTTGTTGCTGATGTTGGCTCCATGCACTTGCTTCACCCTGGAGACCTCACCCACAAAATTACCCTTTCACCACCACTCCAAGCCCAGACAAGTGGCATAGTTGGCAGGATAAGGTGAGGGTCCCTTGGTGTCTGTGGAGATAGTGCCTGATGGTGAGGGAGGATGCCAGAAGATTGCTGACATGCTTCCCCTGGCCTTATTTTGGTTACCTATAGCCAGCTTTTTGGCAGCATGGAGAGCCCCCAAGGACTGGGAAGCAGTCCACCTGACACCCAAGGACGTGCTGAAGGCCTTAGAAATACTGGACACACAAATCCCTCCCTACATTGCAAGTTGACTGGGCAGATGGCTTGGCTATTTTCCACTCTTTTCTGCCATGTGGGACAACAGAGAGAAGACCTCCTCCAATGAGTGGGACACATAGAGAATCTGGAACAATGACTGGCCACTGCAGAAGCCGTGTTGTAGGAGCACCACCTTTTCCCAAAGCATAAGTCTCCATCACCAGGAGAGTCCCTGGTACTGCATGCAAGGCCTGCTATTTGACAAGAGGTAGAGGTGGAGGAGCCCCTAACCCAAGGAGGGGGACCACCCACATCTACCTGTCATACAACATATACAACCTATCCAGCCATAGAGTTATGAAAGGCAGTGAAACAAATGAAGCAAAAGGTGGGTAAAGTGTCCACATAGCTATGGTTCTGGGATGAAGGGGCTGATAATAGTGTTAAATGTCCCAACTAGCTAGCATAGCCAACCAACATCCCCTCTATGCAATGAGTTTTGCAGGATGTGCAGAGGACAGACCCACGAGCAAGTAACCAGACTTAGATAAACTGGTTGATGCCATCAGCCCCCCTGGTTTGGGCAAATCCAGGTGACCTGCCAGAGCAAGTCACAAAATGGATAACCTACTTAGATTTAGTAGCTGTACTATGGGAAACGGGCATGAGACAAATGATGTTTGCTATGCAGTATTGTAATTGTGATGAAGAACTGCTTGCAGCATACATGAAAGACTCAATCCTGGCTAACGGACCTGCTGGCTGCTGGCCTAGCCACAGATACAATAGACGAACAGCCTTTGGATGTGTTGCTGACTCTGGCAGCAGTTGCACCCTGAGCAGCACTACCACCTAAAGGGCCCAAGTGACAATGAATATTGGCCACGAAGCCCCTCACCCTTATGATGTCTTCCCTGGTTGCTGAATATATTCCAGGGGTAGACATACTCACTGGTGCTCAGCTTGACACAATGCAGGGAGGATTCCACTTGTGAATCCGTGTGGTAAAAACCATCGTCTGAGGACATCTTCATCACCCACTGCTGACTCTCCTGCAGGATATGCAGACTATTTCGGTTGTGTGCTTAAAGCAGTATCGGCTGCCTGAAGGCCAGAAGGAGACAGGACAGACAATTTTGAAGCTGGAGTGATATATGCTGTTCATAGTCCTTTCAGTTCCCCAGTGTGGCCTATGCAGAAGGCAGATGAAAAGTGGTGGATGACTGTGGATAACAGGAATTGAATAAAATGACCCCCCTGTTGCACACAGCAGTACCTAATATTTCAGACTTGATGTATAATCTCACCCCGATGGCTGGGTAGATACCATTATGTTGTGGATTTGGCTAATGCCTTTTTCTCCATTGCTATCATATCTGACAATCAGCACCAACTTGTGTTCACCTGGGAATGCAGGCAATGGATCTTCCAGGTATTGCCATAAGGTTATTTACATAGCCCAACTCTGTCATGGCCTGGTGACCCAGGACTTAGCCACCTGGACCAAGCCACAGTCTATGTCCCCTTTCCATTATATTGATGATACTATGTTAACCTCTGATTGCATTACATATTTGGAGGCTGTTGCACAGTCTGGAGGAAGCTTTGCTAGCCTGGGGGTAGGTCACTAACAAAGATAAGGTCCAAGGAACTGGCTTGTTTGTCAAAATCTTAGGTGTTATCTGATCAGGTAAGACAAAATTAATTCCTGAGGACCTGGAAGGAACTGGATAGGCACAGCAGAAGCTGTACAGCAAAAGCTGCTTTTCAGCACTCCAAGAGAGAAGTCATGCAATCCAAGTCCTCTGAGTTGTTGACCCTACCCTACCTTTTACCCTAACTGTTAGTGTAGATGATGTTGGGTTTGGCTGGACTCGATGGCAAAAGCAAGCGAAGTAGAAGCACCCTATTGGCTTTTGGTCACAGTTGTGGAAAGGAGCCAAAAGTTGGTGTTCCCTGATAGAGAAACAGCAATGGTGTATGCTCTTCTGCAAGCCTGTGCAGAAATCACAGGGCAGCAGACCTTGGAAGAGCAGACTAGATGCCCAATGGAGGGCTGGGTCTGCACATGGACATCTCATCCCAGGAGTGGAGTATCCCAGACCACCACCATGTCATGATGGGGAATGTACTCACAACAGAAGTTCCTCCTCTTGGTAAGCCCATTGGCATCTGAGTTAGCAACAGTTTGGGGACCCATGATATACATGACAGGAGACTGTACAGAATGACTGACTACAGGTCATGACAGCCCCTATGCAAAAAGGGGCCTGACAGCTGAGGCCTGGTATACTGATGGTTCTGGCCATGACACAGCCCCACAATGAATGAGCTGTCTAGCCCAATAAGGAAGTCCTTTGGTTTAAAACCAGAAGTAGGTCGAGCCAAGGGGCAGAGTTCTGGGCAGTGAGGCTATTTTTAATGCATGAGGATGAATCTCTGCATGTGTACACAGGCAATTGGGCTGTATGAGTGCTGGTGCTCTGGTTACTAGCTTGGAGGCCCAAGAGTGACAGATAGGGCACCAGACCCAATGTGTGGGTGACAGCCCACTGCATTGCTTCTTAAAAGCACAGTCAGCCTGTCTGCATTTTTGACCCACAGAACAAGGTCCTTATATAATAAAAGGAAGTGACATTGTGGCTGCTTGCCCCATTCCTTGGGTTGGGGGTCTAGCTCCAACTACTTTACTGTGTGGCAACAGGAACCCAGGTGTGGTATTCTAGGCCAGAGGGTAAGACGATCCCAGCCCCAATCCTATCATAGGATAAGCATATGTCCTGCATCCTCCTAAAAAGACAGGATCCCTATAATGGTTTCTCTTTCTGCCCTGTCCTCCTGATCAGAATAAGTCATGCTAACAGCATCATCTGTTGGGCACACATTTGCCCATGTACACCAATAATTGCATTGTTGCGTGTGCACTGAACTCTGGACCAATGTAGTTGACGTCCACCAGTGTCCCTGCTCAATTGGACTGGTAGTGACAAAACCAGATGGACTCCATCTGGGATCAATACCAGGCTGCCAAGGCACTGGTCCAGAAGAGGATGACCACCCGACAAGAACTGGAAACTGTTATATATACTGGTTGGGGGTGGATGACAGGAAATCAAGTAATGTTGCTTGGTGGTCACAAGCTGTGCTATGCCAACGATAGTGTTAGTGGTATTATTTTATTCTCTACTCTATTTTTTTGGGGGGCGGGTACTGGGGATTGAACTCGGGTCCTTGTGCTTGCAAGGCAGGCCACCGAACCACTGAGTTAAATCCCTGGCCCTTGTTCTCTATTCTGTTATGGTCTTTGTGCACAAGCATCAGCCCGATGAGCCACTCATAAGAAGCAATATTTCCCAACCTTGAGGGGAAATAAGGAATTGCTTCTGACTGATTCAAAGCCCAGGGCACCTGAGGACTCTTAAGGACATGACCCTGCCATCCAGCACATATGCACAATAGGACACACTTTACATGAGTTAGCATAGACTACTGCACATGTGTAATGGGGTTATGTAAAAACATGATGATGTGAAGGCTGTGTAATGGACTACATAAGGGCCAAAGAATAAAGATACTTGCTTCTGGTCTTCTTTACCCTGGGGACCTCACCCATGAAAATATCCTTTCAGCCCCCTGACCCTGACACTATGTAAAAAGTCTAGGTATATACTAGGGACTTATCATGGTAACTGTTATAGTGTTCTGACAGCTGGCTAGACCACCAAACAGAATGGACCACCTAATTCTACTAGCAACTTGGCAGGGCTTGTTAGTGGAAGTGATATTTTATCTGGATCACAAAGGATATATAGGGTTCACCAGGTGAAGGCTTGTAAGAAGTGAAATTTTAGGGAAAATGAAAAGTAAAAAGCCAGGAAAGATTCAAAGTCCAAGCAGCCACATACCACTTGAGATGGTATGGAAGAACTCTTCTCAAACTAAAACGTGTGTTGAGATGCAGAGGAAGTTTTGAGGACACTAACATGTACAGCTCAATTAGGAAATGAAAGAACCAATAAAAGAAACTAAGAAAAAGTTCTAGGGGGCTTAATAGGACCAACAATGTATTTTATAATCCAATTATCAAGAGCCAGCATAGTGGAGCACATGTGAAATTCCAGCACTTGGGAGATGGAGGCAGGAGGATCACCACAAGTTCGAAGCCAGCCTGGACTACATAGTGAGTTCAAGTTCAGCCTAAACTACATAGCAAAACCCTGTCTTTAAAATATATGTATATGAAAGAGGTGAGGATTTTAAAGGGCATTATATTTAGCATGATTCTATAATAATATAAATAAGAGCTGATCATTTGTAAGAATAGCAAATGCTCTCAATTTCTCTATTGTGATCTCAGGTTCTTCCCTACATTTCCATATTCTTACAAATGTTTTTCTTCAGTACACTTGTGAGACTGTTTGTTAATTTTCCTGTTTTTCTTTTATAGGACTATTTATATTTTTTTACATTATCTTAAATCCCAAGTTATTACAATCCCAAGTCCTTATAATAAGGATACACATCTGATTACACTGTCTTCAAGTTAAATTGAACACTTTATTACATTTTCCTTTTATTTATATGGTTACCATATATATGTATATATAAATGTATTGATTTTTATTTACCCTAAATACATATAACCATGTGTTTCATATTTTTAAATGGCAATATAAACATATTTATACCCAAATTTCCTCTAAATATTTGTGAACATAAGTTATACTAGATCTTATTTTAGAATAGTAAGAGTTGCTTAAATATTTTTATAAAACAGAATGTTGTATTTTTGTCAATAGAAGTTATTAAATTCTTCCTAAAATATACATATAAAACAGGGTAACAATCATATTAAGGGGTACAAAATACAATGAGTATAAGAAACTTTATAAATAATGTGAGTAGAACTGAAATGTGAGAATTATTACAGCTTAAATTCAATCTTCAAATAAATGTTGAAAGAGTGGAGAAAGGAGAACTAACATCAAGGAAACAGGCATTTTTGCTTTAGATACAATTTTAACCATAGCATTTGTTTTCCCAGGCAGAAAACTCTCTTCCAAATATAATGGAATCCACTTTTTACTTTGAGCAAGCTGGAGTTGGTTTGGGCACTGATGAGACTTACCGCATATTTCTTGCCCTCAAACAACTTACTGACACCCACCCAGTCCAAAGATGCCGTTTCTGGGGCAAGATCCTGGGTTTGGAAGTGAATTATCTTGTAGCTGAAGTAGACCTTCGTGAGGGGGAAGATGAAGAGGAGGTGGAAGAGGAGGATGTAGCTGAAGCTGAAGAGAGGGACACTGGTGACAGTGAGGCTGACAAAGACGAGGAAGGCGAGTTACCGAAGCCCTTTTACAAGCCTCCACAGGCAATACCAAAAGAAGAAAGCAGGACAGGTGCCAACAAATATGTCTATTTTGTTTGTAATGAACCAGGAAGACCGTGGGTAAAGTTACCATCAGTCACACCTGCACAAATTGTTACTGCAAGAAAAATCAAGAAATTTTTCACTGGACAATTAGATGCTCCCATCATAAGCTATCCACCTTTTCCAGGAAATGAGAGCAATTACTTACGAGCACAAATTGCCCGTATTTCAGCCGGCACCCATGTCAGTCCTCTGGGATTCTACCAGTTTGGTGAAGAAGAAGGAGAGGAGGAGGAAGAGGTGGACAGTGGACGAGATAGCTGTGAGGAAAACCCTGATTTTGAAGGTATCCAAGTGCTTGATCTAGTGGAATCTCTATCCAACTGGGTTCATCATGTACAGCACATTCTTCCTCAGGTAGGGGAATATTATCTGGTCCTGTACAGACTTAGATTTGTGTATGTTCTAAAATTACTCCACTTTTATATATCAGAGATGGATGCATTATTTTGGAAACAGCTCTTTTATTCTAGCTCTATAATCTATAGACATTTAATGTCAAGAACAATGAAAGATTATAAGAAAAGTAAAATGAGTAAACAGTGCTATATAGCAGTATAGGACCTATTGTATCATGTTAACAGCACTATATACATCTTAAATTGTATGTATGACTGTATTAAATGACTATACATTATAGATGTGTATATTTTAAATTGATTATATACATTTATTCATAAATTAATCTCCAGAACCACCCTATTCAAAATATAGTATTATTATCTTTATTTTATAGTTGAAACTAAGACAAAGAATTTAGCAAATATCAAACATGGCAAAGAGAATATAACTGATAAGTAATATATTCAAATGTGAGGCTGTGCAGAATGGACCTAGAGTCCATCCTTCTAACCACTCTGTTGTATTCACTCACTTATGGGTAGAGAAATCTTCATTATATTTTGATCTAAATAGCAGATATACTGAGACATCTCTAGGATTAAGAAATTATAATTCTCAGCCTTACCATACTTTAAAATAGTTAATCATGATAGCTTAACTTATATAATTTACTATAATGAGTATATTGCATTACCTTTTCCACTGAGGTTCTATTAATTTTAAAACATACATGAAACTTCAAATTCTGTAACTTGAAGAAATTGGTAAATTCTTGCATAGTAATGGTACAATTTTTTTGGTTGGAATTACTTAGATAGAAATAGCACTTGGTATGTAGAATGAATGGATGGAAAATTAAATCCTCATACAGTGAAACCATATCCTGATACTTGCTTCAATACAAATAAATATTGAAATTTTAAAGTCTACATTACACTATTAAATCTTGAAACATTCATTTCCAGGGTCGCTGTACTTGGTTCAACCCCATACCAAGAAATGAGGAGGAAGAAGAAGATGAAGAAGAAAAAGGAGAAGAACCTGACTATATAGAACAAGAAGTGGGGCCTCCTCTTTTGACACCAATCTCTGAAGATTTAGGTAACTTTATATAATTATTAACACATAACTCTATACGATGTGCATTGTATGGTAAATATATAAGAACCAGAAAGCTCTAAAAAGTGGGTAGGTGCCAAAGTCCTATCCCCCTCTTTATATTCTGGAATGGTGGGGTAAACAAGGCAGCCTGCTATTCCCACACTCTCTAGCAGAGGCCAAAGCAGTGATACAGGGAGGAAACATGAGTTGTCAGCCTTAGGGAAAATGGCAACCCTTGTGCATCTGTCTTGCATTCTGCAGACTAGAAACATATGGCATAGCTAGAGTAGCATATGGCATGTGGTACGGTTTCATTTCTTCATTAGTAGTAATTTGACTTTCCTTTGGAGCCACATAGTACAAAATCGTATTCCTTCTCCCACAAAAGCCTCTTCTTCTTTAATAAATCCTCTGTAGCAAAAATGTATGCATATATATATATATATATATATATATATATATATATATATATATGGATGTGCACATAGACATGTACATCTCAAATTTGTTCCAAAGCTTTCAAAAAATACTCTCCTGATTTTACATGAGAAGTGTTTTAAGTTCTTTCTATATCAAATATGTGTATGTTTAAAATTTAGAAATATAATTTGTTACACAGCAATTCCTGTCTATATAGGAGTTATTTTATTTTTCATTGCATTGCAGAGATTCAAAATATACCCGCTTGGACAACACGACTGTCCTCAAGTCTCATTCCCCAATATGCTACTGCAGTCCTTCAATCCAACGTTTGGCCTGGAGCATATGCCTTTTCCACTGGCAAGTAAGTATCTGACTAGCTCTGGAAATTGTGTTATCACTGGAATGTTAAGCCACTATTGTTTTAACCCATCTTTGCCACATCGTGTGTGGGAAAGATTAAAATACATCTGATTATAATGTAAATGATTGAACTTAGGACTTTAATTTGGGCTTTTGCCCTTAACTGAAGTAAAAGAATTTTTCATTTAAGATTATTTTATTCATTTAGGTTGGAGATAATTCTTAATAGTATTTAGTCTTAGATTACTTTTGTTGAACATTTTGATAAGACAATTAAAAATACTGTAAGCTATCACTTTTGAGAGATTTAGAATGAATACACTCAAAATCCTATATGACTTACCTAGAATAAACAGTTCCTTTTGTCTTGTGCTTCCATTCTTTCCTGACAGTCTCTCCTCAGCAGTGCAATGGAGCTGGAGAGCCAAGCTGCCAGGTATCAGAGTAGCTACTAGGGCAACAAGCCAAAACTCAGATGTGAGCCTTCATCACTCACCGTGACAGCTCACACAGGACAACTCTGACATCTCCATGCCCCGTTTCCTTCCACAAATGGAAGGTCAAACGGGTCCACACAAACATGGTAGTCACAGATTGGGAGGAAGGGAGTTTGCGGTCACTTCACTAACAAAGGAGTCCCTAAGCAAAAGGCATCTGTGGTTTATGGATGGAGGTGAGAATGGAGTGTTCAGGCCTGAGAAGAGACCTAGAAATGAATGCGTCTCAGTTAGGAATGCCAAGAGCAAGACCAACCAGAGGGGCCAGCATCCAGGGCCACAGCTTTCCTCCAAAAATGCAGTAGTTACACACCTTGTTTGGTGTGAAAAGACCAATTTTCCTCTTTGGGGAAGGGGTTGTTTTGAAGCCTTTGAAATTGCCAAGGTCAGCCCTGGAAAAGTAACACAAGTTTTTTAACCTCATTTGACTCCTCACAACCAAATTTGCTGAGTTAAAAATCTTTTAACACATACATGACAAGGCCTCACTGCCTAGTGGCTTGAACCACAGGTGGTACATGGATTACTGTCCCACAGGCAGCTTTTTATTAATCTTACTAGCAAAATATTGAAGTGACTAGATGTTTGTATCACCAGTGGTACAAGCAGCTTGACAGGACAGTCATAAATATACCACCGATAGTTCAATTCAGTGGGAACATGTTTAAACCCTTCTATGTAACTTTATGGAAAGTTAGTAACATCTGCCCACCCCTGAATTGTTAAGGCCTTTTCTTATGTTCTTGGAGGGCAAATTATGACAGACTTACCCCATGGTTTTTCTTAGTTTAAGCAGTTTGAATCAAAATAATTCCCTTTGGTAGAATTGTCACTGGGGGATAATTTATCTCTAACCTTTTATTTTAAATGTAATAGCATTGTATTTCTACAGAAGCATCAGTTTTTCTCACTGAATATGACTTTTTTAACTTATAGAAAGTTTGAAAATTTCTACATAGGCTGGGGTCATAAATACAGTGTGGACAATTATACCCCCCCAGTCCTACCACCAGTGTATCAAGAATACCCCAGTGGATCAGAAACTACAGAAATGGACGACCCTAGTGTGGAAGAGGAGCAGGCTTTTAGAGCTGCACAGGAAGCAGCTGAACTTGCAGCTGAGGACAATGAAGAAACTGGGGAAGACGAAGATGATGATGACAACTGAGAACAAAATTAGCCTGGTTTTGGGTGGCTATGGCAATAACATATATGATCCCTTATGCAGGACTAATTTTGTTTATAACCAGGAATTACTTGTACTGCATAATTACTTGAAATTATCAAGCTTGACATTTCATATACATAACTATTAATATGTTTAAAGAACAATGCTCAGATGGCCATGGCCAAGGGAAAGCATGTTTCTATATTCTTGTTTTAAAAATGTCTCATTTAATTTCTAATATCATAAACACTGAAAGCTGTAACCCGCAAAACTTCATGGAAACTTCTACATTTTGGAAATGTCAGGGGTATGGAGATAAACCCTGCTAACCAGTAAACTAGATCATCTACTTTCATCCTTTGTGAGACTGACCAAGAGCAGGACTCAGCCTCTGTGACTGGCTGTGGTTAAGGCTGTGATACTGTGTGCAAATACTGTGGATGTGTATTCATTTTCCTTCTGGAGGGAATATTCCTAATTCTATGACCCACTCAAAGACTGCAGAACACTCAAATGTTTAACCCTGTTACTTCTCAGTTCATCAGAATTCCTGTCATTCAAATGATTTGAATTGACAGGGTAGGGGGTGATTTGCAGAGATAAAAAGATGGGTTATCCAGACACTTCAGACATATTCTTCACTACTCCTTTCCATTCAATAAAAAAGTATTTTTAAGTCTAAACATACTAGAGATCCTGAGGTTATGAATATAAACTAGGCACTGCTCCTGAAATCCAACTTTTACTGAAGAGTGGTGAATAAAAAGGTAGAGAATTAGAACAGACTGTAATTTGGCAGAGTGATCCTTGCACAGTCCTTAAGAACAGTTCCCAGTCTATAGCAAAGGGTAACATCAAAAGAGAATTTTAAGACAGTGCTGTTGTTTTTGTAAAATTTTAAAAAAATCACAGTAATTCTCTATTCTGTACTTACCTTTTCATACACTGGAAGTCTGTAGATCCCTGGTCTACACTTGCACACTGTGTCAAATCTTCAGATAGTGACTTACATGATGAGTAGGTCAAGAAGCACTTCTAAGAGCCACCACATGGAATGCTACAGGGGAGCCTTTTGGTAGCAAGAGCTACAAGCACTTTGGCAAAGGACTTCAGGCTGAGGAGACTTCAAGTGATAGGAATGGTGAGGGGGAGAGTGGGAAGGGAAAGGAGAAGCAAAAATAATTAAGACGTGTTATATACACATACCAACTAACTCCCTATGGTGAATGTCGTTACGTAATGAAAACATGTACCAATAAAAATTAAAATTTAACAAAAAGAAGTGGTGAGAGATGACCCTGGAGAGGTAAACACAGTCCAAACTGTGTAAGACGGCTGTATTTGACCCATGAGTAATGAAGAAGACTAACTTCACCCAGAAAGTCAACAAACCTTGTTGTATTTTAGAATGTTTAGGCTTTAGTGTGGAAGACAAATGGTAAATAATTCAGATTTAAAACAGAAAAACTAGTTAGGATATCGGATTATCTAGGTAAGAGAACATGGTGGCGTGGAGAAAAACTGCTTGGAGATATACAGTAGAAAACATTACTTTTGAAGGATAGAATATTTGAAAGGATGGTTCTAGAGTTCTTTATCTGACAAGACTACTTTATTTTTGGAGTGCAAATTTCAGTCTTTGTTAGAGTACCTAAAATTCATTCAAGCAGGTTCTTATTCACTTTTCATTGCCCTGCTGCCTTTTATTTTATATATTTACTTAGTTCTTTATTTTTTTATATCCATTTCCCCCTCTATCCTCATTCCCTCTGAGGACCTTTGTCTGATTAGTGAATAATCACCTCCCTGGAGTCCGAATTTTGAGCAGAGACAATCTACTATGGCTCCTAACAAGACTGTTCTGGCTGTTAAGTTGATTCTAGGCCAGCTCTTGTTACCCATGGATCCTGTGAGCTCCTGAAAATCTTTACATAATTTCCTCCTGCTTATGTTTGCCAGAGTAGGAATTCATGCTTGAAACAATACAAGTTATATTCAATTTGAATCTGGGAGTTTCTTTCCTATAAGACACATTAAATACAAACTAAAATTTACATGTATAGTTAGTAAAAATACTGAGCAAAAGCAAATCCTTGTGTAAAGAACCATGCCTTTTTACACTAAGGCTATTTCTATGCGTGAGAAGGGAATTTCATTATGTATATTCTCGAACAGAAGACAGTTAAATAGTGTAGCATTAAGAGCTTAAAAGTGATACAACATAGGTTCACTCCCAAATCATGATTATATTCTTGGGCAAATTACCAATTTCTGAGAGCTCCAGCTCCTTCATGGGGCTAATTTTAGTATTTGTTTAAAAGGATCTTGAAGATCAATTAATACATGTAAAATACTAAAGAGTACCTAAAACAAGTTAGGAACCAATATTTATCAACTTATTTATACAATACAAAATCGGTTTTTGAAACAGAATAAGGAAAACAAAACCCTTAATGAAAACAAGATATTTTATTGAAACAGTAGATAAGGAAGCACTAAAGGTATAATTTAATGTAGGCAAACATGTTGAGCACTTAAGACAATTCAGGTTCTTAAGCTATATTAAAGAGTTCAATATCAGAGTTTGGAAACCGAAGTGCAATGTCATAATCACCAAAAAGCTTAATTCTTCAAGGAATCTTCTCCGCTGTAAAGACTTGAGAAGCGTGTCTCCTGGCCTTGAAAGGAATTTTAAAGACTATTAATTTTAAGTTATAAATTAATTAGACAGTTACCATCCTATTACAAAATATGGGTTTTTTAAAAAAAATAACGGAAATTCCTAAAAGAAAATTAAAACACAAACTTTAAAAGTTAAGAACAAACATTTTTAAAGCCAAGACACAAAGAAATTAAATCCTGAAGACAATACATTTTGAATTAAAAGAAAACATCATTTTAAAATACTGAGTCAAAAGTAAAAATGCTGGCTCACAGTCAAAGTTACATACAGACACACAGTGCAAGAGGAAAAAAACCAGTGAAGAGTCCAGGGGGAGTTAGTGCTGTGGGGACAGAACCTTTAAGAAAAGCATGTCTCACTACAGCCTTTAAAAGTGTCACCTCAAAAAATAATTCAATGTTTGTGCTACTTCCACAACTTGAATTACAAATCAAAGCATATTTAGCCGACTTAAATTAGACTGCATTAAATCAAGTTCAGAGTACAAAGATGACACATAGAAAACTAAAAATGTAGTGGAATAAATTAACCACCATGTATCAAAATGAAAAAAATAATTGAGGAAATGGCTATTACACAGATCTGTATTATTTAACTGCATTGCATTTGAAGATTATTTTCTAGAATAAATTCCTTCAACTAAACAAGTATTCCAAACATCTAGAACCTGGTCTGGGATTAGTAGCTATTAGAATATATGTTTATTGCAGAATGTCTTATAAGACAACTGCAAAGCTAAAAAAATTTTCTTGATAACCAACCCTTCTCTTTGAATTGCATGATTATTAAAGTATCAGAACTAGTCGTAAGTCCAAATATGAAAATACATAAAATGCAGTTATACATATCTGTATCATGTTATATTATAAAACATCAAATTCGTTTTGAAATCCTACAGTTAAAAAAATTACCATTATCACCTAGAAGGAATGATATAGTACTTTAAAAGTAAGCTATAAAAATAAACATGAAATAAAAGTAAAATAATTTTGCCCTTTTTAAAGCTTCAGATTTCCATCTGATCATCTGTAGATCAATTCACCAAAATGTATAAAAGAACAAAATAAATATAAGACACAAATGACAAAAAGACAAAGACAAGATAGTATGCAAAACCATCACGTTAAATTGATCAAACTTTTCTATTTTTCAAAATATAATCTCTTTTCGGTAACAGATATGAAATATTTATATAAAAGCTCAGCAAACAGGAAACCATGCAGTTCTTGAATAGGTCTCTCAATGCAAACTGGCTGAACAGGAGCCCTGATGTTGTGTGATCCTATGAACAGAACAACACCTGAGTGCCTCAGCATCTACATCTGTAAAATGGAAATAATAACACTGTCCACCTTACAAGGCTGCCCTGTGGCTTGTTAGTTAATATGCTCTCATATGTAAAGTGTAGCACACAATAAGCACTGTACAAGTGTTATTTCTATTTTATTTTATTTTTATTATTATTATTATTTTTTGGTACCGGGGATCGAACTCTGGTCCTTGCGCTTACAAGGCAGGTGGCGGAACTGCTGAGCTAAATCCCTGGCCCCTTATTTCTATTTTAAGTATAATTGAATTATACCTATATTATTCCTTTCTACCTAGCAGTACTGTACATTGTTAGTCAAGTCTTGATACAAGTAAATACACAGTTATTGTCTATGATTCAAAAACAAACAAAGCAGCATCAAATGCATGACGCAGGAAGCACAGTACTAGAATTCTAAGAGCACCAACAACCACTTTGCAAACTAGAAAGATCAAGAGCCAACTAAAATGTTCAACTCCACTATGACGTTAACCACACTGATGTTCTCTAAAGTTACCTGTACACTGGTGAACAAGCATGTTGGTATTTGTTTTGTTTTGGCTTTTTTGAGACAGGGTCTCACTATGTAGTTGAGACTGACCTGGAACTATGTAGCCCAGGCTGGTTTCAAACTCACAGTGATCCTCCTGTCTCAGCCTCCCAAGTGCTGGGATTACAGGCGTGTGCCACCATGCCCAGCTGCATGTTGGTACTTTTAAAATAATTAAAATTAATCCCTAACCTGACATGGCCAAATTAGCGCTGAGGTTAAAAAATTAATTAGTGTGATTTTCCAATTTAAGTCATTGCAAAAGAGTCTTTCAAAGCATAATAATCAAGTTGAAGAACCTATAACAACCCTAACCTTTACAGCCTAAGTTATGTGGCTGAAAATATTACACCAGCAATCTCTCAATTCATTTTTAATTCTTTCCCTGATGCTCCTGTTGTTTTCCATGTTCCTCTTTTTGTGTTTAGGAGGAAATAAACCAATTAAAGTATTCCAACAGAGCATTCTTATCTCCGAGATACTGAGGCCTCCATTCCCTAGACTTTATGTACTATCACATAGGTTCAGTGATATAAAAATAAACGAATTTTTCAACTTAATGAAATAGAATAAGGTGTTAGGAGATACAAAGGAAAACGATGATTTGAAGTAAAAACTTTTAATTTTAGCTAGATGTGGTAGCACATGCCTCTAATTCCAGCACTCAGGAGGATGAGGCAGGATTGCAAATTAGCAGCAAGCGTAACAAGTTCAAGACCAGCCTGGATCATGAAGCGGGGACCCTGTCTCAAAAAGCAAAAGCAAACAAAACATTAAAGTTTTAAGTTTCACCCATTTAGCTTCACATAATAAATACTTACCACTTTCTCCTCTGGAGAAAGAGCACCCTCAATTGTCACTATCTGGTATTGCTTATGCTTTAAATTTCCCACAAATTTCCGAAGTTGCTTGATACTACTGGCCTCGACGTCTTTTTTTAATAGTTTCTGCATTTCTCGAGAAGGACATCCGGGATCAAATATTAGCAAACATAATGTTCTGTTTTTTCTCTCTTCAATTCCAATAACTGTTTGACTATGACCTATCAAAATATGAAATAAAACCTATCTGTAAACCGTTTCTACCCACTGTTATTAGACACAAATAACTTCACATATACACACATGTACACATATATTCTTATTCTTTTGTTCATTCGAAATATAAATATGGACAGTCTTTGATATTTATGTACCGGAGATATCTCCTAAAACACTAGTAATTAGCTTTACTTCCTACCCTTCTGTTTTACTTTCATTTTTAAAGGCTTTATTGCAAAAAACTATAAGAAAAACCAAAAAAAAAAAACAAAAAACAAAACAAAAAAAAACTCTGCTTCTACTCTACCACATATTTTATTTTTGCCAACCTCTTGATGTCTTTTCCTTCCCTAGTTTCTTATTCAAATTATCTCATCTGAAAGGACTTACCTATCCTAGTACAAAACACTGATGAGCCCAAAAGGTCAACAGACGATAAAATTATATATACTAGAATATCAATGGGGAGGGCTTAATTCCTTATGGTTTGTATTCCTGAATGATTACTTTTTATTCCTGTCAACGCAAGTCATCCATTCAATAAAATTTATCTCATATCCATATGCCAGCACAGTTGCAGCACTAAGGTATACAGCAGGAAACAAACCAACATGCCTATTTTCATGGAACTTATATTCAGAAAGGAGCAGAAAGTCTGTAAACAAGGTAAATAAGTGAAGGAAATGCCAGTGTGGTGCTATGAACTTTTAAATAAGGTGAGGCAGGGGAAGAATTAACTAAAATGACATAAAGACCTGAGGAAGGCAATGGATGAGCAATGAAAGAAGAGTGATCCAGACGAGAAAATAGTAGGTGCAAAAGGCCCCGAAGATGCCAGGAATACTGCCCGTTACTACCCAAAAAGGGAGGCTACCGTCACAACCACCCCCTTCCCTATCATCCAAATTTCAACCTCTTCTTACCTAGGAGTTATACTAACCTTGATGCTGAAGATAGATAGGAGGTTTGGATGTGCATACCACCTTTGCACTTCCTTCCTGCTCTGAAGAATAATAGTTCAATATCCATTCAAATAAGCGAGGGTGTGTACCTGAAGGACCAGTTGCCTTGTGAAAATCAACAATACGGCACCTAGAAAAAGTGGCAAAGTGACTTAGGTATATTCTCAAAATATTTTCATTGATACACTAATAAAAATCAAATAGAATTTTAATCTAAAACTAAATTTGGCTATATCATGGCTGGCTAGAGGCAGCGGCATGTGTGGGAGCTAACTCTGGAGATATATGGGGAAGTGCAGGCACTCAGAAATGGAAAGAGAATGAACGCAACCAAGAAAGAGGAGCTGGGCCACACCCAAGTCTGGCAAACATGCCCTCTTGGGAGAGGATCATACAGGAGCTAGGTACCCCAACATCCAGTGCCATCTGCCATGGCTCCATTCACACCGGAAGAGGGAAAAGAGTGAGCCAGATACTTATGAGCAAGGCACTATAGAAAGCGAAGGCCAGATATTCACTCAGGGACTCAGGACTGAGAGGCCCTGGGCAAAGTGAAAAACAAGGGCATAGGCCTGTTGGGGCACCTGGAACTTGACCCTAAGAGCTCAGTGAGCTGTACAGGCAGGCAATGGCTGCAACCACTTGAGCAAAGCCCCATCGTTCCCCTAAACACCAGTGAGGTCAAGACAAGTGACTGTGGGACACCGTTTACCACCCACCCCTCAGTGCCCACATAGGAACCCTGTCACCCACCGGCAGAAGCTGCTGTGAGCTGTGAGTTCTAGGCACTGAACCCAAGGGATGGACAGGGGAACTGTGGAGTGCGGTCAGCAGGTTTGGTGCAGGCAGAGAACTGGAGAAGAGCAGTACAGACAGGAGGGAGGGGGTGGCATGGTTTCCCAGTCAGACACCAAAACAGAAAGATCAGACACAAGCAGCTGCAGGGATGATGAGAAGAAAGAGGTAAGAGATGGAGAAATCCTTGGAAATCAGCAGAAGACTGGGTGTGTAACCAGCCACACTGGACCCTTCCTACTTCCAGCAACTGAAGGTGTCTGATCACAAGACAGAAGCAAAAATCTCCAGTGAGCCATTCCCACAGGATCACAGCCAAAACCAAGCAATACAAGGCCTACAGAGGGGAGGACACAGGCCCAATGGTCGTTGGACACTCTACAAGCAAAGCTTTCCCATCTGTGAGCATAGGGGGAAGACCACATTGGTTGAACTCTGATCGCTGTATAAAGAGGACTGCAAGGTCTCCTTTGTGTTTTTGTACGTATGTGATGATTTTTTACTCTTTCTCTTCTTTCTTTTTCTCCTTTCATCTGGTATATGTGGGAGGCATTCATATATATGAAATGGAAGTAAAAATAAATTGGTGCTTCAGTTTAGATAGAATTTTTCATGGACATGTTAGTGAGGTTCACCCTCACTAAAAGCTGTGTACAGAGCAGTGCTGCTGAACCTGGGCCATGCATGCCACAGTCAGTTGTTTGTTATCATTGAAAGCTCTAAAAGGTTCGCCATCACCAGTACAGAGCATCCAAACCAGCTTCCTATCAGCATATTAATCACTTCTGATCTCCCAGCTTCCTCTAGCCTCAAATTACATTTCCCTCCCTCTTTATCCCTATTCCAACCCCAAATATCCTCTCAAATCCCCGCTCCACCACCTCTCCACTCATGTTTTAAAAATAATTATCAGTAAGAGATGGGGGAGGGAATAGAGATATATTATGTACAAGTACAAACTCCACATGATGGATGTAATCATTATATACTGCAAACGTACTAATAAAAATAAAAATTTTAAAAGGACAAAAATAAGGGTCCTATCCCCTTCTTCCACTTGCTGTTTTCTCATTTTTCTCCTTTTTCTCCTTTACTTCTTTCTGAACTAGTCATTCCGTTTCTTCTTCCTTTATCCTTCTCTCATGCACATCCCAGCCTAATTAGTTTTCCGTATGTGTCAAGGTCTTTCTGGGTTATTGAAAGGGGGGTAAAATAGTTAAAGCAAGTTTTAAATTACATAACTAATGTATGGTTGGATCTGTGGATGCTGATATAAATGGTAGCTGTTAAAAATTTAAAAACCCAAGAATTCAGCAAAAAGAACACTAAAAAACTGTTAAAGAAAAACATGAAGTAACTTATAGTTAAGATTATCAAAGTAACAGCTGATTTTTCAACACAATACTTACAATCCAGGAGAGCTTGCAGCAAAGTTTCTCAAGCCCCAATAAAATGATTTCAACAAAGATTAATACGTCCAACAAAACTATCTTTCAGAATTGACAGGAATAAAAGACATTCCAAGAGCATTTAAGGAATTAATGGCCACGAAGGCCAGGGATTTAGCTCAGTGGTTCCACCACCTGTCTCACAAGCGCAAGGATCAGAGTTCGATCCCCAGCACCAAAAAGAAAAGAAAGAAAGAAATGGACACTAAACTAGCATTGCAAGAAGTACTAAAAGAAATCTAGACAGAGACAGAGAGAGCAATCAAAGAGCCCTAAAACAGAATACATCTAAAAGTGATAATACTTCAACAAAAGGGGGAAAAAAAGGAATCAGCAATGAGAAAATAATACAATAACATGATTCAGTGAATATTTTTCAACAATATCTGTCTATGAAAATGGTCTTAACAATCCAATCAAGGGCCGGGGATTTAGCTCAGCTGTTCCGCCACCTGCCTTGCAAGCGCATGGACCCGAGTTTGATCCCCAGTACCAAAAAAACAAAACAAAACAAAACAATCCAATCAAATGACACAAACTGACAGATTGAATCAAAGAACAAAATGCAATTATGTGTGTCCAGAAGAGACACCTAATCCACAAAGAAACACAAAAGCTGAAAGCAAAAGGATGGAAAATGATACACCATGCAAGTGTAACCTGAAAGCAAGCAGAAGTAGCTGTCCTATTTTCAGGCAAAGTGGACGTCAAGCCAAAGCTGAGCAAAAGAGACAAAAAAGGGTCACTACATAGTGGTAAAAATAACCATGCAACAGGAGGAGGTAATAATTGTTAATTATACATGCACCAAACTCCAGCCCAATCAATTCAATAAAACAAATATCACTGATCACTAAAGGGAATTTCCACATACCCCACTCTCACAAATAGATAACCAGACCCCCCCAAATCAATGTAATTAATAGATATCTACGAAGGTTTTTATCCAACAACAGAGTACAATGTTGTTCAGCAGCACATTTTGTGCAAAATAGACTACTAAGTATGCTTACAATACAAAACAATAACCTCCTGCATACTACTAGGTCATAATGGAATGAAAAGAGAAATCAAAGCAAAATAAACCATAGAAACACAAACATATGAAGATTAAATGATAATCTCAAATGATCAATAGTCACAAAAGAAATTAGGAAAGAAAAGTTCCTGGAATCCAATGGCAATGGTAGCAAAACATACCCAAATTTATGGTACATAATAAAAGCAGTTCTAAGAAGGAAATTAACACCTGTGAATGCCAACATTAAGAAAATTGAGCCATATAAAATAAACATCCTAATGATTCACCTCAAAGTTCTAGAAAAATAAGACTAATCTGAGTCCAAATCTCAAAAGAAATTATAAAAAACAAAACAGAAATTAATGAAACTGATATTAAAAAGAAAAAATATAAGGAATCAATTAATCAAAGAGTTGGTTCTTTGAAGCTATAAAAAAGATTGATAAACCCTATGCTAAACTTAACCAAAGGTTAATATTAGTGTACATGGAAATGAAAAAGGCAAAATCTACATTACTGAAATTCAGAGGATTACAAGAAACTGTTTTGAAAACTTATGTTCTAATAAATCTGAGAAACTAGAAGAAATAAATTCCTAGACACATATGAATTATCAACTCTGAATGAAGAACATATGAACATCTTCAATAGATCAATACCAGGCAATGAGATAGATACAATAATAAAAATTGCATCAATTAAGAAAAAAATTAGGCCCCACTTGGACAACCAGAAGAGACAGGAAAACCCCCAAGCACCTTTAGTCATCTGATTTGACAAAGGGCTAAAAACACACAATGGAAAAAAGACAGTGTCTTTAACAAAAGGTGCTGGGAAAACTAGCTCTATACATGTGAAAGAATCAGTCTAGAGGCTGGGGATTTAGTGTTGTAGCACCTACCTAGCTACCCATCTCTATACAGAAGCAGCCTGTACGACCACAAACACATGAGAAGACAAAGAAAATGTGGTTTACACACACAGTGGAATACTAAGCAATAAAGATGGATAAATTGGCATTATTTGGTTTAACATGGTTCGGTTTCTCTAATATAAGAGAATGCAAACATAAATAATTTAAAGAGCAAAATAAAAGATGTAGGATTGGGAAAATAAGACTCCACAGATGGGAGGAAGGAGGGGGAAGAACTGAGAGGGATGTGTGTCAGGAAGGGTTGCAAAAGTGATTAAAGTGAGATATATCAATTCCTCAAGATGAATAATTATAATGTATCACAAACATATACTAATAAATTTCTTAAAAGGCAAATGAAGTACGCTCAGCGCGCTCTCTCTTTCATACACACACACACACACACACACACACACACACACACACACACACACAAACTAAATTCATCTAGCCATTACATCCTTATGATGGAAGAACAAATATGAAACAAATTTTTATTATTTGTCTGGAAAACTGTCATTTTTCTGAAGGAAATATTTATTTAAATAACCAAAGTAAGATTTTGAACTAAAGATTACAAATATTTTTCACATATTAAAACTCTGAATATTGCCGGGTATGGTGGCGCACGCCTGTAATCCCAGCACTCAGGAGGCTGAGGCAAGAGGATCGCTGTGAGTTCGAGACCAGCCAGGGCTATATAGTGAGTTCTAGGTCAGTCTCAACTACATAGTGAGACACTCTCTCAAAAAACAAAACAAAACAAACACAAAAACCCTGAATATTAGAGGACCAGGTTTGATTTTTCAGTCATCTACATATAATTTGAGCCACAGCTTTCATTCTAAAGTATCTAACACTGATTGAGTTAGAAACTTACTTCTGATTTTAATTCCCCAATAGCCATTTGCATATATCAAAAATAATTTGAAGTTTCAATTTTTGCAAATTTTAATAACAGACAAGGGTATATGTAAAGACTAAGAAAAATGTATACCTACATCTATACAGCTATCTATCTCCTTTCTGATACCAAGATAAAGACATATGCTTCCTTCAAGAGGAAATCTCTCTTGAATAAATAATAGTTTTTTAACCAGACCCACTGTTAGTACTATTCAATAACTATTTACAAAAACCACTTAGTACTTTTATCACTTTATAGCACAAATTATCCTTGCCTTTCTTGTCAGTAAAATCTTAAATGTCCAAATTACAATGGTTGCCAACCTTAGTCTCACAAAATTTAATGCTGACAGTTTATAACCACTGATTACTGAGGTTTATGTGCTCAAATAAAATTCTGGATAAATTATTTTCAAGTCAGAACACTACTTTTGGATTATTGGTTTGATTGCATGTTTATATTTAGAATATTTCACAGTACCCTACAGAGTGTGATTCATATAGAAAACAAAATGAAGACACAGACAGTAGTAAACACATTCAGGGATGTTTTTTCTTTTTTTCTTTTTTTTTTTTGTACCAGGGATTGAACTTAGGACCTTGCTCTTACAAGGCAGGCAGCAGAACCACTGAACTAAAATCTCCAGCCCAACATTCAGGGCATTATTCATAGCAAAACTCTGCAAAACTACCAAGAAAGAAGCTGAGGGTATTAAGACATCTAGAAGAGATCTTTTTTACTTAAGAATAACTTAAAAGGAATATTTAAGTCATATAGTGAAAATGCAAAGGAAAGGTAATTATTAACCTGAGGAAATCTTTAAAAAGCTTTCCAGGAAAGAAAATAAAATCAGCAATGAGCAATATTCATACAATCATAATGTGAGCTCTCATTTTAATTTAGCAGAAACTGACTTAATCAGATTAAGGTTTGCAATTGAAGATGAGGAGGTAGAAGACAAAGAAAAGCAAGTGACAATGCCTGAAAAAGATAAACCAAGAAGTGGCCATAAAAGCATATTATGAAAAAAAATGACAGTTGCCTCTAAAAAACAGGACTTGGGAGCAGAGAGAGCATGAAATAGGGAATCATTGCTGGCTTCCATTATAAGCCTTTGAAGGTTAATTAAATTCATTTTTAACTATCTCTTTGATAAAAATAAAATTCAGAAAAATAAAAAAATCTCTGATATGGCAGTAATATTATTTGGAGTTTTTCAGGTACATACTTGACCCTCAGGGAAGTCAGGAGGGTAAATACTTCACATGCTCCAATCCAGGCTTTGGTTCCCTGTAACCTATTATTAAGTTGAGAAGCCCCCTGAGGATCGAAACCTTCTCTCCATGCATCTTCAATCATAGCCTGAATTTTTGGAATACATGGAACCGACATACCTAAAATTATATAAGCAAAGAAATTACATGACAAACACATATTTAGTAGTTATATACTTTAGACAAACCTACAACATAGTTTTTAAGATAGTTACTGCTGTAATTTTCTATTATATCACTTTCTCTCCCTCTGACCAGAATTCAAATTTCTTATATAAAATCACTATAGTACTTCTATCAGCTATTAATTATGCACAGTATATTTAATTCATCCCACACACATATATCTGTATTTCACATACCTTTCAAGCAATCATCATAAGCCTCATTCTGTAATAATGATGAAAGCAGCATTTGAAAATTTCTGTAACCACAACCCCAACCTTTGTCACCTAGAGAAGAATGAAAGTGATCTACCACTGTAGAAAGCCATACACGCGTCACATCTGTGGCCGTGCTCTGATAGTATCTATGAAGTGCTTCAATAACTCCTGAAGGAGAAAGAGATTTAGAAGACAGGAAGGTTTGTTATCACCATTATATGGCAATAATTTTTTTATTTTTAAATTTTTTATTTGTACAAGTTTATTGTGCATACCGATTAAACTCATCATGAGGAGTTCACAGGTACATAAGAAATCTAAATTCTACGTGCTTTCCGCTTCCCTCCACCTCTGTATTCCCTTCCCATCTGCAAAAGATCTGTCTCCCTGTTCCTATCATCTTTTATTTTGTTCTTTATATTATTTATACTTTAAGTTTCTTATATGAGAAATCATGCATTATTTAAGTCTGTATGCCTGCTTTATTGCACTTAACATTACAGTCCCAAGATGGATTCATTTTCCTAGAAATGACAAATCTATCCTTCTTTATGGCTGAGTTTTATATATATACATGTAACACATTTCATTATCCATTCATTTGTTGATGGACATATAGGCTGCTTCCAAGATTTAGCTAAGTTGTGCTGCTATAACCATGAGAATGCATGTTATCACTATAATATGATGTCTTTAATAAATATACGACAAAGTGTTCCACATCTTTGGCCATTACAGAAATGCAAATTAAAACAACACTGAGATTTTGTCTTACTCCAGCAAGAATGCATTATCAGCAAATCAAATAACAGATGCTGGTGAGGTTGAATGGATAAAGGAACCCTTCTACATTGCTGTGTCATACTTTTCTAACATCACTTGCACAAGTTCCAAAGCTAAATCCCACCAATTCAATCTTTTCCTTTACCACCTTACTGCTTACAATCTGCTAACAAGCCCTTGCTTGTTACTATATCAAGTTTCCTAGGGCCAGGGATTTAGCTCAGTGGTTCCGGCGCCTGCCTCACAAGCACAAGGGCCTGAGTTCGGTCCCTGTAACTAAAAAAAAAAAAAAAAAAAAAAAAAAAAAAAACAAAAAAAACAGAAAACATATTCCTAAACACTAGCATATCCTTGACAGGGAACTGAAATTGTCTACAGCTTTTATCTCTGCATCTACAGGGCCCAGCCCCTAAAACTTCAACTTGAACCCATTTTTTGGTCTCTCTTTTTTATTATGCATATTGCTGAAGATCACTTGGAACAACTTGCCACTAATCAAGACAATGGCTCCCCACTGCCTATAAAATTATATTGATCTATGGTATATGATGCCTGCTGCAGTGTATTCTGATATTATTTACAAAATTAAAGGAAATTATTTGTATGTTAATTATTTACTATAGAGTTTGGAAATTTCAAGACAACCAAATTTTAAAAAGTACCTGAATATAGTTTTACCTGAAATTATATAACCTTGGCTTGTACATATAGTATTAAAATTATGATTCCCATATTTACCACTCACCAGAAGTTTTTGTTTTTCCATCATCAATACCAACAGCAAGGGATTCCATCAGGTTAGCTTTTCTCCTGTGAAACTCAGTTGGATGCATTCTTCCTCTATTTACTTCTATCTCCATATTCTGGAGTTGCTGTTGTTTATATCCTCCAGAACCATCTAAGCCATACTGTTGCTATTGAACATGAAAATAAATGACTTAGACATCCTTGATTTAATAGTTCATGTTAGAGAGACCTCACAGAGGACTAGAGAGAGCAGCACTGAAGAGACTCACATCAAGATCTGGAGATACTTGGGATGGTGAGGGAACAAAAACTCAAACATGGAAAGGTGCCACAAAGGAAAAGCCCACCAGATGAATTCCAGGGCTGGGGACAGAGAGAGAAGCAAGGCTACCTCTTAATCCCAGCATTGCTCATAGCCAGGGTTCAGGGAACACTGAGAAGCCATCTAGAGGATCAACCTCAAGGTGAACAGGACCTATGCCACCATTGAGAGACAAGTCCTACACCCTTGAGGGCCAGGACCTATACCATCAAGGACCAGGATCTATGCTACTGTGGGACAGGACCTATGCTATCATAGGCCAGGACTTACACCATCATGGGACAGGTGTGAGGAACAGGACCTAACCCGAGAGGAGCAGCTGGACAGCTACAGACAAACTACTACAATGGGTGCCAGGCCAAGCAGTCACTTGTCCCAGGTCTTTCTACAATGAAAGACCCACAACAGGGCTACCTTGGGTCAGGGAAGGCACAGGCCCATGGAAGGCACAGGACAGAAAATCCCTGGAGTATAAGGACTGGGTTCTGACAGCGCCCTAGAGACAGAGGTAGGAGGGTGGTCCAGTGGCCTAGAACCAGACCAGAGCGACCTGTGGGATGGTGAATTGTACTTGAGTGGGAAGGTCACTCTATCACTGCCCCTACCACTTGAGTGGGATTCCCCCACCAGCTACCCAGGTTCTGAGATCACCCTCCTGTCCCCTGGCAGAAAGTCCCCACCCTCACTTGGCCATGCCTATGCACCCTTGCACTGTGCCTGGATGGAGAGATGGGTCACATAGCTAGCTCTGAGAGGGGTAAAGGAGCTGAAGTGGGCAGCTGCAGGGGTGACACGGGGAAAGGGGAAGAGACTGCAAAGGCCTCCAGAGGCTGATAGTATCTAATCATAAAAAGGCAAAAACTTGCACTGGTCGTACCTACAGAAGAAACTGCTACAGAGGCAACAAGCAGCCACTAAGGTCCACTGGGACCCAGGACCCTTCCCTTACTTGCAGGCACAGGATAAATTGCTAGAAGAAGCCAGCTCCAGCCATGGCAGGCACATCAACCTCCTAGCAACCCCCACAGAGAACTGGAGTCCAGCCCAACTGCTATGTGAACAGAGAGGAAAAGCACTATAGTCAGATTCTGACTGCAGTGTTAACACAACTGAGAGGACTATGTGCTTTTGAGTTTTTGTATGTACATACGTTTTTTCCTTCATCTTGTATTTTTCTCCTTTCAACTGGAATATGTATGAGATGTGTTTATGTATGTGAAATGGAGAAAAAAATATAGTTCATGACTAGCAGGGCTTGGTGGCACATGCCTATAATCCTAGCACTCAGGAGGCTGAGGTAGGAGGATCACTGTGAGTTCGAGACCAGACTGTGCTACATAGTGAGTTCCAGATCAGTCTCAACTACATAGTGAGACCCCATCTCAAAAAAAACCCCCCAAAAAATAAAAATAAAAAGGAAAATTAGTTCATGCCTTAGTTTAGATGGTACCATTCATGTGTACATCAGGGTAACCTTCACTAAAATATGTGTATGTCAGATTCAAACACAACCATTTTATTAGCATGTTTAGTGTTTTTGACCTTCTTAGATCTCCAGTTAAACTTCCCTCTCCCTTATTTTCCCCTACATTCACAATTTCTCAAACTCCCTGGCTCGCCACATCCTTCAAGATATAAAAATAACATCAAATTTGTATCTCTTTTCCTGCTTTCATTTGCCTCTGTTTTCTTTGTCCCTTCTTCCTGAATTATTTTTTCTTCCTGATTGCTTCACTAATACTTATACTCTACATCCCAGCCTGCTCTTCATCCGTACTATTTTACTATTTATTGAACAAGTTGGGAAACTGTAAAAACAAATTTTAAATTATATAACTGATATATGACTGGTCCTGTAGATGCTGATATAATCGGCCATTGTGTCCTTGGAACACAGTGACCAGGACTGATCCTATAACACTGAACAGACTGAATAGGTGTACGAACAACACTACATGAACCTGATCGGGTCACATCCAGAGATGTACACTAACTAAAGAGATTTCCACAGCAGGGTGGAGTTTTCTCTCCCTAACTGATCTTCAAGCCTGAGCACAAAAAACAAGAGAAACAAGGCAATAAAATGCCTTCAAAAGTTCAACTTCTTAAAAGCTGATCTCACAGGCCCTAAAGTGTAGGATGTTTCAGGCAAAGAACTAAAAAACCAAAAGCTTTAAATGCTTGAAGGGAACTAAGAAGAAACAAACTGAGCCATAATCAGCTCTACACAGACCAAGCCTTACAAGTGTACAAACTCTGAACTGGTGAGATTATGTGGCCCTCACCACTTCAGGCTAACAGGGATACAGTTGCTATTTTCTCAAAGCTGGCCACAGGAAAGAGAAAGCCATGATGCAGGCAGCTGGATTTGTATCCTTCATTTGATTGTGGAAAGGGCAGCATTTGATATCACTGTCCACTGCATTGAAACGAAGTCTGGGGTCATTCTTAAGGAAGCTCACAAGTTATACATTTGGACACAGAATTCAGTCTATTTTTCAGCTTGCAGTTTTAAAATGCATGTGTGTAGACTGGGGTATATGGAATATCCTGTCCCTTCTCTAAAAGCTAAAAATATTTTAAAAAATGAAATGTTTTTTTTTTTTTTGGTACCAGGGATGGAACTCCAGAACTTGCACTTGCAAGGCAGGTGGTGGCACCACTGAGCTAAATCCCCAGCCCAAAAATAATGATGATTTTTAAAACCAATGAAAAAACAAAACAAAGCAAAAACCAGCATGGTACTGGCACAAAACAGACATGTTGATCAATGGAACAAAATTATGGTCTAGAAACAACTTCATGTGTCTTCAGCCATTTGATTTTGGGGAAAAGGGCCAAAACTTATGTTGAAAAAGAACCTCCTTAACAATAATGCTGGGAAAAATAGTTATTCACATACAGAAAGATGAATCTAGAACCTTATCTCTTACCCTGTAGTAGAATCAAATGAAAAATGAATCAAAGAAGTAGTTACAGTAAGTGCCCAACTTAGAAACATTTGAGTTGTGAACTCTCACAGGTGTACTGTATAAGATGCACTTTGTCGGATTATGAACAAATCTGACTTATGAACATTCTCCAGAATGGAATTTGTTTGTAGGTCAAGGAAGATAAAAATAGGTAACTGCTGAAGACAAAATAGGTAACTCTTGAAGATACAGGCAAGGACTTTCCAACCAAAACACAAATTACATAAAAAATGATACCAAGAATCAATAAATGAGAAAAGGTTCTTCTTCTGCACAGCAAAAGAAACAACCAACAGCACAAAGAAATAATTACAGAATTTAAAATCTGGGAAACAATGATTCAAGTGTAAATTTCACTTCTAAGTATCTGTATAAACTGAGGCTATCTCTTAATTTGCCCCATCAATTTATACAGGTTTTAATCTAAGCTCTTCCATCTTATAACTAACTGTCTAACTCAGGCAAATTACTTAACCACTCTGCATTTGTTCACCTGAACGGGGGTGGGGGAGGTGATTCTTTCCGGATTTGTTGTGAAGATTTTGAGACACTATACTATACTTCACTACTTCACCACAATGAGTACTTATAAATTTTGGTTATGAAATGTAAGATATACAGAGAAAAATACTTTAGAACAAAAATAATACACTTAAACCTTAAAAGTATATTTGAGAAATAAAAACTCCAATTCTAATTCAAAACATTATAACAGCACAAATGTCAATACCTGCAGCTTCTGGAATTCTTCCATTTCTTGTCTTGATTCCTCAGATTGCTTCCAATCTTCTTCCTGTTGAAGCTGGTGAGCCAATTCCAGATCAGCAGAACACTGAATTCTATCCATGCCTACTAAACATTTTTAATGGTCAGAACAAAATAACTGCTAATATCAGAACCTGTCAATAAATATCTTGGAATAAGGGTCATTATTTGTTATTTATTTATGATTGTGATATCAGAGAACTACAGAGTATCAATTTGGCAGAGCTCAGAACTGCTTCTATTAATGGAATAACCTCCATTTAAACAACAGATATAGATACAGACATTCCTTGTTTAACAACCAATCTCCGATTTAGAGATTAGGTCATTAAATGAACTGGTTGCTAAATGAATGAAGAATTGTATATAGTATGGCACAATATTCAGAACAAAGAAATGGTCAATGGAAACTCCAACTTGATTACTTTGCTTTTATTTGCAAGAAAAATGAGTACTATGGCTCAGTCCGAGAAGCCAGAACCAAGAGAGGCCAAGGCCTCAGTCGAAGAGGCCCAAAAGGGTCAATGGTGTAAATCCCAGAATCCAAAGGCCAAATAAGCCAGAGTCTGATACCAATGGCACCAGAAACAGGCCCCCCAGTCAGAAGCATGAGCTAGAGTAAGCCCCTTCTTCAGCTTTCCTGGTACATCCAGCCACAGTTGCATTGTGCCTGCCTGCACCACAGGTGGGTTATTCCCACCAGTTTGCTGATACACAGGCCCGGCATGTCTGAAAGTAATTCTTCACCATTTCTCGGAGGCATTCCTCAATCCAGACAAGTGACAATTCCCCAAAATGATGATTGAATGGTTTAAGTGAATATTCTTTCTTCTTTCCAAACCTCTTAGCTGCTGCTACATCTCCCCGCTTCTATTCTTTGGTTATGCAATTCATAACCCATTTTCAGTGAACTGAACCTATCTGCAGTGATCTACTCAGACCATAACCTTTTCTTATTACCTACTACAGGCTTACACAAGAACATAAGTACCGATACAGAGCCCATCATAAACACAGTAGGAATTAAACAGCTATCATTCCACAGTCCTCCCTTACAATTATGTCAAAAGGAGGAGAGCATACCAACTGGAATAGCCAATAGAGTACCACAAAGGAGAGGACTATTCCATCTTTACTCTATTAATTTTCATCTTGAGATTAGGCTGAATGAGCAGGTGACACTGTGCTTAGAGATCACTGATTCTGACTCTAAAGATCCCTACATTACTAAGAGTTACCTTCAAAGGCTGAAACAGAGCAGAATAAAATTGTTTTCTCTTAGGATCTACTTTATATTCCTTTTCAGTGGGTTTGTGAAACTAATATAAAATTTTTCTACTTCTAAAATACCACGATTACTTAATTCCAATATTAGGAAGTACAGAGAACTTTTAGCCATTATTAAATAGTAGTAAGTAGTTTTAGAAGTTGGGGAAAACAGCTGGAAATGCACTGAGACTCTCAGATTATACAGTTCACACACATCTTTAAAATTATATTTTCCATGTAGCAGCTTTTTGGTATAACAGTTTTTGCTGAACAAATGCTAAGTTAAATTATTTTTAGCAGATGAAGGAATGGCATCAGCTTGTAAATAAAACCTTGTAAAAATAGTGTACAATTTTAAAATCATTATCTTAAATGTATTACCTTCTAAATATTGTTGCTCTGGAGCTAAATCCAGGATGCATATAGCCTTTATGTAGATACTTATCCCCACAGTTCATCCAACTTTTTTGTGCAACATTTGTAAGGAAAAAGCTAAAGCTAGATAATAATTACTTCAAGAAACAGGTTTAAAATGGTATGATTTTTTTTGCCTCTGCATAACTAACCTAAGAATAAAGCATATAAAGTATGCAAACAGTAAAAATTAAATCCAGATATTTTTCTTTTAAAATATAATCTTACCTTGTTGAAAGCTCCTTTCTTCTAAATGCAAGTCAACATGTTCCTGGAGAATATGATAATTTGTACAGATGAGACCACACATAGGGCAGTCATACAATGGTTGATCACAGTCTGTATCAGAGATATAAGTACCGGAAAGTTGGTTTTTTTTAACTTTACATTTTTCACCACATTTGAAACACTATCTACCCTACTAACTTAATTACCTAGGTAAAAAGTCTCTCTGTGTGGGTAGATTTAAATAAGTTAAGACCAGTACCTACTAACCTTATAAAAGCTCTTTGTAGTTGAATTTAAAAGCTGTTTTTCTACTTCTATGGTCAGATAGAAGCACAGTTCCAAACCTTTTTAGCATTCCAAAAAAAAGTAATAATCAACATTCAGATCTGTATTCAAACTTTAAAAAGATAAAAAGAAAACCAACATGAGGAATAGGATCCCACATGGATATCAACTTGGGGGCTAAATTTTCAGCACCCACAAACTGGAGAGACGCTGAAATCACGTACCCAGCATGGGGCTGGGAATGGGAATCATGCCTCCAGATTAGAGCCAGAGCCATCAAGCAGCCCCGCAAGCAGATAGGACTAGCTTATCCCAAACACTTGTGGAGCCTCTCTGTAAGATGAGAGCCTACAAGACATTGGGCACAGAGGTGGGGTCCAGAGCTGCTACAACCAGGTGAAAGCAGTAAGTAACACAAACATGGAAGTTGGTTTAGAAGTAGAGATGAGAAATGCTAAAGTGAAGGAACCATGAAGCTGCCTCACTGTGAGGGGAACATGGAAAAACAAAACTCTCAGATGAATACTAACATGCAGATTACAGAACACATTAAGAAGCCAGGTATGATGGCACATGCCGATAAATCTAGCACTCAAGAGGCTGAGACAGGAGGATCACTGGGAGTTCCAGGCCTGCCTGGGCTACATACATAGTGAGGTCAAGGCCAGTTGAAACTACAAAGCAAGACATTGTCTTAAAACAAATAAACAAACAAACAAACAAAACACACTAAGAGATTTAACGCCGAGAAAAACAGTCTAGAAATCCAGAAACTGAAGAAGTCACTTATAAATAAATGGAGCCTGTAGTAGTAATCTACAAAGGACTGTAAAATAAATAAGTTTAAAAAAAATGAGACTGGGCATCTGGGCACCACAGTACATGCCTGTAATCCCAGTTATTCAGATGACTGAGACGGGAGGATCACAATATCAAGTCCACCTAAGAAACAGTAAGACCTTGAAGAAAGAAAGACAGAGAGAGAGAGAGAGAGAGAGAGAGAGAGGAGTTGAGGATGCAGCTCAGTGGAGGACTTCCTCTGAATTTAATCCCTATTACAGGGAAATTAAAAAAAAAAGGACTGAATCACTGAAATAAAAAGGGAAAGGGAAGTGAATAGTTGAAAATACTCCCAAAAGCACCCTAAGCAATAAAGGTCTATGGCTACCATGAATAATATTATAGGATGTAAGAGCAGCCTGTAGGCCAGTTCTCTACCATAAAAATGCCTCAGAGCCCATGCCCAGAGGCCTCAGCTCATGCCCTTGGTGATCACATGCAAGCCAACCTTGCCCTTGCTACCACATTCAACCACAGTACTTTACAGCACCTCATAGCATTGTACACTTTCTAACCATAAGAAATCTAAGCTTCACAGGTCAGCCACCATCATTCATTGTAGTCACCCAGGGCCACAGCTACTAACACTATTCTACAAAGAAAATTTCTAACTAACAGTCTTTAACTAAGTATACAGACACTAATTTGACCTAAGCTTCATCCCTTACTTCCTCAAAGACTCCAACTACAGCTTTCACAAATCGGCCTATCATTAGTCAGTTTCTCTATAACACAAATTTTCTCAGAATATTCACTTAGTCTTGTTGCATTTACTGAAATCTAGTTGGCCTACTTCCCTGACAGCTCCTTAACACAGAAGCAGTTTTTCTTTCATAATTTAGGGCTCTAGAAGTAGAAATCATATCCCTTTTGCTTCTTTTCATCACTTCAAACCACATTCTTTCCTCAAAACCTCTATCTTTTTACTAATTCATATCACTAAAATACAGCATCTCTTATCTCTTCTTTGTGGCTAATATTTTCTGAAATCCTAGATACATCCTTTCATTTACTGAAGATTTCTGTGGATGGATCAAAAACATTTCCTAAACCTTACACTGTGAACATTTTTTTTTTTTTTTTTGGAGACAAGATTTTGCTAAGTAGTTCAGGCTGGCCTTGAACTATGTACCTGGCTGGTTTGGAACTTGCAGCAATCCTCCTGCCTCAGCCTTCCAAATGCTCGGATTACAAATAAGCACCACCACACCCAAGTACAATGGATCATTCTCATCAACGTCAATATCCAGAGGTAACTCCTTCACTTCACTTCCAACAATCTTTACCTTCCTAATTTAGTCACAGAATAACAAGATTATACTTTACATTCTACCACTCCAAAGTCTTTGGGCCAATTAAAAACCTGTCATGTATAATATATATAGGTCCTATATTTTTGTAATTTATCACCTCCCTCATGTTTTTTTACTTTCTAGCCTAGATGCCACACATCCTCTACATAATTATTCTTTTAAAATACATGCAAACTTCCTTGTTCCATTACTGTTCCTCAATGTGAGTTAAACCCAACTATTAATTTCACTTCTATATCTCTAATGACAACCAGGGTTCTTTCTTCACTCAACATTCAGACACACAAGGCTACCATAAACTGCACTTGGCACTAGTTTGCTAAGAATCTGAAGAGATAGCAGTGATCCAGCAGAGCAGTGCAAGGGGTTGCACTTAACGGGGGACCTCTAGCAGTCCATGGAATTGTTAATAGCAGCAGATAATAAAATCATCTAGAGCACTGATAGCAATCAATGGACAACTATCAAAATGAGTAAGAGCCAAAAAAGACTAGACACCTTTTATACACAGAGTTGATAACACACTCTATAAACTACAAAAGTCAACTACAGAAAAGGTCCATTATACAAAAGTAATAGAAATTATACACAAGGGAATAAAGCTCATGTACATGTTCAATGAAAAAGAAAATTAAGAAGATATAAACGATAAACAGATAATGTGGAGATGTCCTAATTTCAAGTAATATTTGAACAGAATTTTACAGAATTTAACAAAATGGCTGAAACAAAGTACCAGAAGTGAGGGGCAATATTTTTATAATTAATGGCAATGTACCACTTATTGCATACATTTTTTAAAATTTAAATTTAACATAATTTTTGGCCATCTCTCATACGGAGAACACTTTACCCATCATGCTTTTTTATTTTTGTTTTTTTGAGACAGACCTGGAACTCACTATGTAGCCCAGGCTGGTCTCGAACTCACAGCAATCCTCCTGCCTTAGCTTCCCGAGTGCTGGGATTACAGGCGTGCGCCACCACACCTGGTTTCCCATTATGCTTTTAAGTGTGCATGAACTATGCCCATCCTGAGCCAAACAAGCCTCAACAAATTCAAACAATTGGTTATCAAAGTATAGTCCAAAAAAAAAAGATACAATTAAACAAATGAGCAAAAGCCAGAAGATTTAGAAAAAAAAAGAAAGTATAGTCCCTGATCATAATGGAGTCAAACTAGAGCTCACTAACACAAAGTTAAGAATTCAGGACAGTGCCAGTAATACTGGGCTGATGGAAGCAGAAGAATATCCTCTGAAAATTAGACAGAAAGTACTCTTAATGTACCTGAAGCATTCAAATGTACATTAAAATTATTTTTCATAATCCTATTTTTATAATGTATATATTATATTTGTGGCAAATGAACATTACAGGCATAAACTGGATTTTAAAACACGCGGTAATTTGATTTACAAACCAACCTTTAGAACACTATGTTAAATTGAGACTATTATAATAAATTATAATATAATAAACACTTTACCTTCTAATGGTGTGTCCAAAAGACTGACATGCTTTGTTTTCACATGATTTTCCATATCTTGACTACATTCCTCTATTTTTCCACAGAATGGACATTCAGGAGGACTATACATTGTTTCATAAATTGATTCTTTTGTTTCAGATAAGTCCGACTGGTTTTCCTTGCTTTTCAGGAATTTTCTAGATCCAATTAAGCTGTCTGAGTAAAAGACTTCATGTTTTAAAGTACCATCATTAGGCAGGCTTTGAGCTGAACATTTTGGATGACTAGATGCACAAGCTTCCATTGTACTCTGCAGAGAGTTGTCCTTGTTATCTGAAGTTCCATAATGTATTGGGTCTACCCTCTCAAAGTTTCTTTCTAGAACATTGTGCTCAAAATGAGCAGTTTCAATATGAAAGCACATTTCATCATAATTTACCCCCGACAATTTGCAAAATGGACATATAACCTCATTTTCCATGTGAACAATTAGGAGATGAGTCTTCATATCTGATTCTGAGGTTACCATTTCACCACAGATATCACAGGGAAGCATGGTAAGACTGGTAGCTAGAAAAAAAAATACAATTATTATTTTAAGTTTTAAAGTGAATTAAAGAAAAATAATTTCATAAAATTTAGGACAATTCTTTGGTATTTAGGGCTGTATTGTTTGGATGAGGAAATTTTCAATGTACTTACTGTAACTCATATATACAAAATTATTCATAAATCTCAATAAAAAATTTATTACAGGTTGAGGTTACTCCTAACCTGCAAATCCAAAGTCCAAAATGCTCTAAAATCTGAAATTTTCTGAGTGCTGATGTCGTGCCGTGTGAATTTCACACCTAATCTCATGTGACAGGTGGCAGTCAAAGCCAACCACAGTGAAATACTGTATAAGTCTACTTTCAGGCTATGTGTATCAAATGTATATGAAACAAATAAATTTCATGTTTATGTTTGGGTCCCATCTTCATGGTGTCTCATTATGCATGTGCAAATACTACAAAATCTGAAATTTTCTCAAGCACTTCAGATACAGGATACTTAATCTGCACTGTATTTCAAGGTTGTAGTATCAATAAGTTAAAGGTAAAAGTAATGAGAGCAAAGAATTTTATAAATAAAATATTTCAAAAAGTACTTCTGGCCTGAGATATAGAACACAATTATGTTTAAAAAACTGTCCAGGTAAAAATAACTCCGATAAAAGAAAAACAGAAGAAACCTATCTATAGACTGATTTATTGAAAAACAGAACTTTATAAAGTTTATTATAATTGGAATCGTAAGTAAATACATCTTAATATTTAAACAGCTTGATATATATCAAATTCATTACAGCATTACTGTTATGACTTTATACATAACAAGGCCCTGGCTCAGATAGATTACGACAGGAAAAAACAGTGGAAGGCAAAATGCTAACCCAGTCACGGGCCACAGCCAGTCTTCTCAACCCAAAGGATAAAAGGAAAGGAGTAAAAACTCAGCCATCCTTCTAGAGAAGTGGCTTATTTCATTCGCAGGTTTCACTGTGTAGGCAAAACATCTTCTCTCTGACGTTCAGTCTATGAAATGAATTGTACTAAATCAGTCACTTTTAAATTCTACGAGCTAATGAAGTAGTGACTAAAGGTATTATTAAGAAATAGTAATTTTAAAATAACCACAGCCACCACTCTACTAGATCACAGTTCAGCTAAGTACTGTATTAAAAAAAAAGGAAAAAGAAAAATAAGGACGTTACACCCTTTATAAAATTTAGCTTTACAAGACCACCCTACGTTATCCTCTTCCTCCTCTCTCTCCAGACAAGTAAAAAAAAAAGGTCTGATCTTAGAAAGACCCTCTCTACCCTTTGTTTCCTCTCCAGGGTCTAGGACACAACGAAACACAACGCTCATGGGTACAAACGAGCAAGGGCGCCCGAGGACGCGGACCCTGGAGGGAGCGAGGGCGACCGAGCACTCGGACTCGGAGAGTTCCCGGTATCTGGAGGCGCCGGCTGGGCGGGGAATGTGGTGGGGAGGCAATCGGGCCTGAATGCTGCGAAGTTCTGAGTCCACATCCTGAGCTGGTTTGAAACCAACCCAGACGTTAAGTGAGTCAAAGCTGGAAGAGTGGAAGATGAGGACCAGCGTCTTCAGTCCTTACCGACCGGGAGACCCAGCGGCTGCCACACTGGCTTCTTCTGCTCTGTGCGTCCTCTACTGCAGAGCCGCGTCACCTCGCTGGGAGAGGAGCATGTGCCTAATATACTGTATCTCTCCAGGCACGAAGGACTGCAGCCAGGCCCTTCACATATCAGAAATTCACAATTAATCAAGAAAAGTATAAGAGATTCTAAGAAACCTTAGACCTTGGCAAGAGATTAAAAAAAAAAAGCTCTCCTCCCTTCCCGGAAGTGGGGAGATCCCAGAATGCTCCGCTCACCCACTGTCCGTTGGGGTGCATCCTGGGAGTTGCAGTCTCGATTGTGGTGCATTCTGGGAGTGGCAGGTTGGTTGTGATGTATTTTGGGAGTCTCGCTCCCATCTGTAGTGCTTCCTGGGAGGCACAGTCCACGTTGTAGTACTATCAAGGAGCTGCAGTCCCGGTTATACTGCCTCCTAGGAGCCTTGTCCCAGTTGTGCCTCCTGGGAGTCGCAGTCCTGGTTGTAGTGCCTTCTGGGAGTCTCTGGTTGGTTGTATACCGTCTTACGACTCACAGTCCCGGCTGTTAGTCCCTTCTGGGATTCGCTGTCCCTGATGCAGTGCCTTGTGGGAGTTGTTGTCTCGGTGCATAGTAGGAGTGACCCTTCCCCTCACCCGTCCCCCTCTTCCCCCGGTTCATTCCACCTGTTTAAATTTTTGCCATCCGTTCATTAGCGTTTTGACCCTGGACTTGCTACCAGAGATACTAGGTCTTAAGATTTTAGGGCTCAATCTGAGTGTATTTATAGGTCATAGTGATATAAGAAAAAAAAATAACTTCCAACCTGCTAGATGTTAGATATGCTAAGTTTGTGTCCCCAGAATTGAAGAATTAATTCTGAGGAACAAGGTAAGCATACGAAGGATTTATTGAAAGATAGCTCCTGAGAGACAGGAGGGCACCCCAAAATGGGTTGCCACGAAGGCCAGTTCTCTAAGAATGTTTTATAGACCAAAATTATGAGGTGGGTACAAAATCACAAGGAGGGTGCAATGTGGGTCAAACTATAATCAACCAGTAACATTACAAGTATATCCACCTAGCTAATAGCTTGAATGTATACATTCAAGAGAGAAACAGGTCATGTAACAAGGGTCCATGGAAAGAACAAAGGCACTTTTGGAAAGGGATGGCTCTCAATGCTCTGGTCACCCACCTGAGTGACTGCTGTCTTTCTAGACTTTTATTGGACCATGTGATACCAATCATAGTATAATTCCAAGTTACTGCATATACTTTAGGGGAGGCATGTAGGCCAGGTCATTGCATCTTCATCTTATGGCCCAGTCTTAAGATGTTCCTCCAGTAGGGGCAGGGATTTAGCTCAGTGTGCCTTGCAAGAACAAGGTCCCAAGTTCAATCCCTGGTACAAAAAAAAAAAAAAAATCTGATGTCTTTATTTTTCTGACTTCCTTGACAGCCCACTCCCTCCCTGATTTATAATAATTTCTATCTAACTTGGCTGCCTATAATACTAGGGCAAACTCATATCTATGCTACCAATTCTGTACGAATCAGTTGAGTAATATCTATTCCAGTATCAAGGAATTGTTTATAATGCTACAACATGTCAAGTTCCAACCTATGCTCTACAAAAAAAGAATAAGATTATTTTCTCAAGGTCACAAGAACACATGTACTTATATTTGCCACTCATCTTAATTTGACACGTATTTAAAGAGTGCCCCCCTCTAAAGGGTGCCCATTAGAAAGGCATTCTGTTTGAAATTGGAACTGCAGAGTAAACAAAGTACACAAAATCCAGGATGTTAGAAGCTTATTCTGATGAAGCACAGCAAACAAGCAAGTAAATAGATTGTGATAAATGCTATGAAAACAATAAAACTCGCTTACAGAGACACAGTACTGATACCCAAAAGGGTTAGTCAAGGGCTGGGAATTGAGTTCAGGGGCTCTGCGCCTGCCTGGCAAGTCCTGAGTTCAATCCCAGTCCTGGAAAAAAAAAAAAAAAAAAAAAAGGTTCCTCAGAGGACAAGAATGTATAGATGAACAAACCTTGTGACAACACAGGAAGAACATTTCAGTCAGATAAATAACTGAAAAGGAAGGACTAAAGATAGAGCAAGAAGAATATTTTGTAATCAGCATAATGTGCTGGGGAAGTGTAATTACAAGATGAGTTTCGAGATGTAGATATCTCTTAACTCATGTCAGACCTTATCAAAAGCGATTGAGGTACATATTTAAATAGAAGGGTAGCACAATCTCAAGATGAACTGTGTACTGTATTTTTAAAAATAATTCTAGGGAGCTGGTATTTAAATACAGGGGATTAAACAAACATCTATTAAAATGACAAATAGTAATACAAAATGAGACTGTACACAAATTTGAAAACTAGAAAGAGGATAGATGAATAGTTACTAACAACTAAAATGAGAAATCAACAAAAAACAAGTCAATTCATACTCTCCAGAAATTTGGAAATGTTAGGAAAGTAAAAACCAGATATTTCTGAAAAAGATGTCAAAATATGAGGTTAAAAAAAAGGAATATTTTGCTGAATGTCTGAATAAGGAGTAGTTAAAGCTCCATTCCCAAGTGTCCTCAATCACCAGGTTGTGACATGACACATCTTTCCCTCTACGACAAAAGACTGCAGGGTTAGTTCATGAAAAAAAAAAGAATGCCCACTGAGGGATGCTACATTTTGTCCGGCAAGGTGACACGCACTTGTAACTCCAGCAGTAAGAGATACAGAAGAGTATATGAAAAAAGTGAAAAATTATCAAAGAAATGAAATTGAAGATAATTTTCCCAAAATATTACTTCCTAGGAAGCATTCCTCAAACACTCTTACCTAGAAACCTCCTAAAAGAAAGAAACAAAAAAGTGAAAGCTACGAAATTCAATTATGAATCTCCACCAAAATCAGGGAGGAAATGGATAGATAGATGAGTAGGCAGCATGAAAGGAAGAGAAAAAATTAACACACCCTTTACGCTTATAGTAAATGGAGGGACCCATCACAGCCGGTCCGGACAGAACGCTCAGCCTGGAAGGTCCTCCAGGATGTACACTTTTCCCCGCCCATCTTGGTCTGTGCAGGGGAGGGAGGGGCGGGCGGAGGAGCTGCCCGGACGTCTCCAGGCTTCTGGGAGTTGGCTCGAGGTCTCGCGAGAGGAATCCGTGGCCGCCATCTTGGGCCACGAGCCTGCTGGGCCGCGCAGACGCGCTGGCGCTGGGGCGGGTCGCGTTGTCGTTCCTTCCCCTGCGCTTCCTTGCTGGACCTGACCCTAGGAGTGGGTGAGTGGCCATGGTGCAGGCCACACTGAAGAGACTGGGGGGAGCTGCCCATTCCAAGGGCTGCGGCTGGGCTGTGTTTTCTCCTTTGCTCGCTAAGGGTGTCTAGGATTTCCCTGGAGGGCCCGTGGGGGCGTGGCGTGGGCGTCGGGGCACTGTGGGAGAGGGCTGATCTCCAGGACCTGGAAAGGAGGGAGCTCGGACCGCTGAGCTCACCTACCCGCCCTTCTAGGTAGAGCTCGGTACTCGTTCTCGCCAAGTTTGCAGCTCAGTTCGGCTAGCCAGCTGCTGTCCCCTGCTGGGGCGCCGCGGTTCCTGGGAAAGGGACGGGACTCCGGGATTCCCTGCACACCGGTGCACCCAGCAGTCGGCTAGGCGCCCCGAGCTGACTCCATGCTCCGAGAGGAGAATGTCAGGCACTTCATCGGGGATGCACCCGACCGAGGAGTATTCGAAAGCTGTGAAACAACATGGTGACATTTACAGTGACATCCTCTCCTGAGCTTTTTGGACACGTCAAGAAAAGACAGGAAGATTTCTGACTTGTTGCTCAGTTTCAGCATTCGCTGGTGACTATTTTCTTAGTAAGCAGGGCCTGCCTCCGGTCTGCAGTCCCAAGATCACTGATGGATGTGATTGCTATTGGGCTCCCCTCCCAGTCTCATAGTTTTCTAAGGTATCCAAACCTATAGAAAGGAGGGCTTCGCTGACATGAGAAATTCTGCTAGTAAGGTATCAGAGAAAATACTAACTTCAAATTACAATTATTTGCCCACTTTCAACTACGTTTTGCTTATAAATGAAAAAAAGTTCTGTTAGGCACCTTTAAAGTGACCTCAACCATTGAAGCACACTCTTCAAAAAATTTATTTTCCAGTGAACAGAATTTCATTGGAAGAGGTATCTTTGGAGACTCTTGGAAGTGCAGGGTTGAGAAGCAAGAAGTTAGTATTACTACAAGAAAAAGTAAAAAAAAAAAAAAAAAA